TATGAATAATTATGCGTACCAATTTTTCACTAGCTGCAGTCAAAACTCTTCTGAATCCAAGATATAAGATGGCGACGTCGCGTCGTCGATCGGGAATTCAAATATGGCTCGAGAATGCGCATTTTGGATGACGTAACGAAAGCATGCGCGCGCATGCATACAGCCTCACTTTCAAGTTGACTCACTTTTTTCTTCTAAAATGCTCTTATGTCGATCTTGACTCATTTTTTACGACCATGTGAGTCAGTCGAAGCATTTTGCAAATGCGTCAGCTCATGATTGACACACTGGTGAAATATAAATGAGTCAATAGAGACTCATTGGTTGTTACTAATGAGTCAATTTACACCTGACTCACGAAAATTATGCTTAAATGTGTCAAATGACTCACTTTTTGTTGTGGGTGCATCTCTTTGAAGTTCCGAAAAATCTGCTTTACTTTGCACATCACTGGCTTGGGACACTTCAGTACAATTAAAGCGTATACAGTGATGATCAGACATAAGGTTGCGGTGTATGACATTGTCCTCTATGACGCAGTCATGGATAGAATTAATGTCTGTAGAGGATTGTCCCTGTAGATTACCCTCATTCCTGGTCATGACAAGGTCCAAAGTGTGACCCATGTTATGGGTAGCATCATGGACGTGTTGAGACAGGTTTGCTGATTCTATGACGGAAAGGAACTGGGCTACCTCAGACTTTGAAGGCATATCGACAAGTTAAAGTCTCCTAGGAGAAGAACTCGTCCAGATAGCCGTGATATCTCAGCGGTAAGATCATCAAGTTCTTGAAGAAAGTCTGCAGTACGAAACCGATTTCGTGAAGAAGGTGGGGATCGATAAACTACCAGGAAATGAATCGAACCTGCATTACTAACAACGTGTGCGAGTTCAAAAGTGGAGAAAGTCACAGATTCACAAACCTTCAGATGTAGTTGAAGTGGAGACTTGAAAATGACTGCAATGCCTCCATGATGATCGGTCGGCCTTGGAACATTCATAAACGTGTACCCAGGTGGAGAGCATTCGGCGATGACGACTGGATCTTCTGCTCTAAGCCACGTCTCAGTTATAAACATCAATATCATGTTCAGAAATGTAATCATGGAGTAGGAAGGTCTTATTACATATAGAGTGAGCATTCCACAAACACATCTTTAAACAAGACCCATATATCTTTTCGGTATTGGTATTAATAACAATTAAGTTATCGTGATTGATTCCTCTAACACAAGTTTTGTCGTTTAGACCAAACTGAGAAACAAGCACATGGATTTTATGTTGTTTTTTCGGCCTCCCCGTTTACACCTATGGGCTCTCTTTCTGAGTTTGGGGTTACGACTTATTCCTAGGCTACTGATTTTTCTCATAACATCAGGATGAAGGAAATGCCATTGTTGGTTAATGGGCAAAGCATTTAATTGCAAAAGATCAAGTCTAGTGTAAGATTTATCATTTACATTATGAACTAAAGTTCTTCCAGCTGGGAGTGTTTGTCTATACTCCTCAGATGTAACGGGTCCAGGATTGGGACTGACATCACCCGACATAAGTAGTTGTAATCTAAAAGTTGCATCAGTATTGGAATAATACAAGATACACGATCCAATGACTTTCACCTTAGATGGTGACATTAGACTACCATTTCTATACTTTACCACTACATGGCAATTTGCAACATATGTACTGGTCAATGCAGCAATCAGAACAAAGGTGACATATCTGGCTATCTCCATTGTTATACTAGAGCTCATTCATGAATATCAAAAAAAAACAATGACATGGATAGGGGACTTTGAATAGTCAACTACACTGTACAGCAACATACACAGGTCACACAGTATGGCAGCATGTAAAAACTCACCTACAGTTTTTGTAAAGTGTGAAGCACGGGTAAAAATACAAATTCTGAAAACATTACAAATCTATATCACTCAGCAGTTGTCTAGCAGCTTCCATGCCATATACAGATACATATATTACAAAATTATTGGCTAACAGTAACATAGAACACAAGTAACTTAAAGTAAGAGAGAGAGGTAGAGAGAGTCGCCTGTCAAGCGCGCACCTCCATTACCTCCATTACCTGTATCTATACTGCATCTGAAATTAAGTGAAAGCAAAAACATCATCATAATTTCATTACCACTGAAGTGTAGGTAGTGAGACATGTACATCATCTGGTATGGTCCTTGCTTGGAAAATTCTTTAAAATACGAAGTGGAGTTGGGCAACATTTGCTGGTATCAAGAACAATTGTTTAAAATAATTTGCGTATAGGGTGAGGGACCAAGGGTACTAAAGTGCTGCCTTTATTATAATAGACACAGAGTACAGATAATGAGAGAAAATAAGCTAACATGTGGACATTGTTCCCCAAAAGGTAGACTACTCATGATTACTTTAGTCTCAAAACAAAAGTATTCCTTTTTTCGGATGGTGCCATCTATTCATTTTTAGGGCAGGACCGTATCTAATTTTCAATTTTTAATTAAATGTTCATTCATGTCCTTCTTTGCTTGAAAGGCAAATCATTGAATTCTCTAACAGTTAATCAGGAGGGGCTATATCCCAGGTCATCTCAGCTGAGCATGATGATAATTTTCATAACTCCCTTTGCCCTTGGCCATGTTGATGTTGGCCTTGGGCTTGGAGCCCTGAAGTTTCTTAAACCCCAGGCACGCATTACAAGAAAGGTTTCAGTCTGGTCTAGATCCTGATCTACTCACCTCTAGATTCTAGATTAATGAGTAGTCGCTGACATAAATTGATAATTTTGAAATGATGATCTAGAGTAACTAGAGTTCTAGACTCTAAATCAAATTTACAATTAGCTAAATAGTAAATTAATGAAAAAATAAAAGTAAAACTTTAGAGGTCTAGGCCTAGAGTCTACTTTACTCTCTAACTTAAAAATTTAGTCTATTTTTAACTTAAGCAGATATAAAAAGAACCTTATAACATTAATATTTGGTATGAAGTTAAATAAGAAAGACTCTCCACTTAAGTTATACAGTCAGGAAGGGGGAAACTGAATTCAGACCAGGATTAAAAGTTGTAAACGGTACAACGAATCGTCTACTTTCTCTAATGATTTAAGGAAACGTCTAAGCTGTAATAAATTTGCTAAAGGTAGAGATGTTACAACTAAAATGAAACATTTGCAAGCCTATGCCTATGCACGCACACCATGCGTGCTCTGATTGACTGTATGCAAATGAGTTCATACTGAAAGTTCATATCACCAAAACGAGAAAAAAGATATCAATTCGTATTCGGGCAGCTCGCTGCCCCCCCCCCCCCCCCTCCCCCTCCCCCATTAAGCGCGAAGCGCGGAGAAAGCTTTGACATTTCATTAAATTATTAGAGAAAGAAGACGATTCGTTGTACCATTCTCGACTCTTAATCCTTGTCTGAATTCAGTTTCCTCCCGCCCGCGCAAAGCGCAGAAGCTTTGACCTTTCATTAATTATTAGAGAAAGAAGACGATTCGTTGTACCGTTCTCGACTCTTTATCCTTGTCTGAATTGAGTTCCCCCCCCCCCCGCGAAGCGCGGAAGCTTTGACGTTTCATTAAATTATTAGAGAAAGAAGACGATTCGTTGTACTGTTCTCGACTCTTAATCCTTGTCTGAATTGAGTTCCCCCCCCCCCCCCCTCCCGCGCGAAGCGCGGAAGCTTTGACGTTTCATTAAATTATTAGGGAAAGAAGACGATTCTTTGGGGCCATTGTCGACTAGTCTTAATCCTTGTCTGAATTCAGTTTTTCCCCGCCCGCGCATAGCGCGTAAGCTTTGACGCTTCTTAAATTATTAGAGAAAGAAAATGAAACAATCATGATTGTAATTGCACACAATTAGGTTAGCAGAAATTGAAAGGGGAAAAAAAAGATCTATCACACCAACCATGGATAAGTCATGGTGGAGCGTCATATCATAGTTTTGTTTTATCGGTCGAGGGCCGGGGCGTAGCGATCAAGCGAGATTTTGCAATGTTGAATGCTGAAATTATGCATTCTAGAAAATCCCTAAGCCCAATATGTACGTTCTTTCCGCTATATTCCTTTTTAGCTATATTTCTAATTTTCCAGGGGACGTGTCCCCCTATCGGGCCCAGGATCGCCGCCCCTGTCCAGGATTACTAACAACATGCATTGAGTTCAAATACAAGCACAAGCGAGTTGGTATGAGCTGAATCCAAATGAAGGGCAAAATAAGAGTTGTGAAGCGGGCCCTACCGTTAATTTAAAATTTGACTGTTGAGTCTATAGCTTCTATTTAAAAGACATCCAAAATGTTGTGCCCTTTTCACTAAAGAGTGATGACCTTTGTAGCGCAGGGGCTGTTTTTAACGTTTAACTTTGAATCCGCGGCTCGAGATTTTATGTGGCCAGCCCGGCCCCCTCTATTCAATAAAGTTTCCCAAGCCTTCTGGAATGACCCCAAATCTCCCGATTACAGTTTTTCCCTTATTCGTCGTTACTGTCACTTAGCGCCATTTCCTTGTCTTTCCCCCCTTTTCACCCGACTTTTCTCTCTCTTTCGCCCCCTTCTCTTTCTCTCTCTTTCCTTCCCCTTCTCTGTCTCTCTCTCTCTCTCTCTCTCTCTCTCTCTCTCTGTCTTTAATATATCCACCCTCTATCCCCTTCTTGTCCTTACTCCTTCAGGTCCAGCTATTTATTATAGATTTCCTAATTCTTTCTCTCCCTCAAGCCTTTCACTCCACTCACACACGCACACCCAACCCTCTTTCCCCATTTGTTTTCTTTTTCTCGTGCCTCATCAGTGCACTATAGTAGCCACCTCTCAATAGAAAGGACATCAGTCTCTAAAGTGCTCATCTATTTTCTTTCCCTGTTGGTGACCTTTATATAATTAGTTTTTTTCCATTCATGCTGAAGCTCAGCAAAGAAACATTGCTTTGTTGGCATCTTTATGTTAGCAAGTTCATAATAACCAAATACACACAACATAAAATACTAACCGGCTAACATCACAATATCAATTACAAAAAGATTTATTACAAGGCACATTGATGTCGTAATTCCAACTGAAAATATCCATTAAATACAAGCAAAAAAGATACCGGTAAATGAATGTATTTGGTCTTTACAGCTACGTGTTTGGAGCCTAAATGATTGTCAATTTTGACACTGAATTTTAAGAGCCACCTTAATCATCTAAATGTTGGCGAAGGTGAGCAACATAACACAACGATACGCATAATAATCGCAACACATAAATTCAAAAACTATATTTGGAAAAGCAAACCTGAAAATTCTTTTAAATTGATATCTTCACACGGTTTGGATTTGTTTTTAAACATATATTTTATGTTGAAGGCTCCTTGTCGAATAAAATTATTATGGCATTTCGGGTATGTTCATCATGTTCAATAGCGCAAAGTCCGTTGCCAAACAAGGCGACTACGTTATTACTTGTGCTGATTAAGCATTTGAACACTATTGGCCCATACGCCAAGCAGTTATTCCATTCAACGTGTGCATTGTTCTGCAATCCTTTTTTCCCCTCAGTAGGCCTATGTTGTCAACCTCACATGGGGCATTATGACGCTGACGCAAGCATACGTTAGGAAAATGACGCAGTCCTACGTTAGAAAAATGACGCAATCCTACGTTATAGAAAAATGATGCAGTCCTACGTTAGGAAAATGACGCATCGTGTCGAATCGGTAATTTCTAGGCCTATTGTTTCAATATCATCTTTAAAAAAAAATACTTAAGACTCAATTGCATTTGTATCTGATGAATCTTCTGACTTCTTGGGGAGAAGCCAGACCTCATTGTGCCGGTGCCATAGTTTGAAAGGACTGTCGTATCCGGCGGTATAGTACATCGATTCCTCGAAGGCTATTCCAAGCTCGGTCAGAGCGTCTCCCAATTCTGTTTCGTGCGTAATCCAGTCCTGATCGTGGGCCCTCCCATCAAATTCGCTGTATGAAAACGAAAAGAAACAAAACACAGTTATATTCATTACAAGTCATGTTATAAGACATTATATTTTGCATCGATTTCTGAGAAAGGCATGGGCGTGGCAGTTGCCTATCCCTGCCCCCATAATGAACAACAACAAAAAATATGAAAACATTTTTAAAGCTGTCTCCCAGTAGCGTAAATACGAATGAAATGTGCACCCTCCCCCTTCCGAGTCGAATGGCAAGGGGTGGCGGAAGAGTTCGTGGGGGAAGAGTTCGAAGGGGAAACGAGAGCGTAAAAAGAAGAGGTTAAATGTCCCTCTCGGTCTCCCATACTTTCTGTAATCAGTTTGCCTTGCTCATTCATATTTCAGGCTCCCCATGATGTCAATGTGTCTCAATATGATTATAGAGCCGTGTAACGCCGCTGCTTGGTCCTGTAAATTAATTTCTCGTCGACGGAATCAGGAGATGGGGGAACTAACCCTACGTAGACTGTCAGCTCGGGGAAGTCAACAATAGACACATCAGTGTTGGTGGGGGTGGGCGGGGGGTTCGATTCATCCTGGTACTTGAAGGGGACAAAGAAGTAGACGGTGAAATTGGTCTCACAGGCTGGCCCTTGTCCAGGGATTGTCCGCACCGCTACAGGGGCAGTCATCTCCACCTCCATCTCTGGAAGACAAAAGGAAATAGACAGAAATAGATAACAATGTGCCTAAATTCGATCTGGAGAGACTAATTTGTGTGAAGGCATATTCTTAAATGCTCATGAGAAGACGTTTATGCAATCATTCGTAAAAGGAAAGGAGGTTCCCTTTTGAGTTATATATTTTTGACTGAATAAAAAAAGAAAAATCGCGCGGGTGACATTCAATAGTTTGTACCTCCGCCCCTCCCCCACTTTTCAAATCGTGACATTTATAGCATAAGTTTGAAAGATTTCGAAAAGGTAAAAAGTGTCCTCATTTCCTATAGGGTAAAAAAACTGATTCTAAATTTGCAGACAGGGTTCCTAGCTTTTCCCCTAACAAGCAAAACAAATGAAAATAAAAGAGGTACATCGACTATAATGATAGCCGGAAATGGTCTAATTTATTTTGACAGAAAGCTTGAAGTGTTACATCCCAAATACCCCCCCCCCCCCAAAAAAAAAAAAAAAAAAAAAAAAAAAAAAAAACACACACACTTGCTCACTCACTTTCTAAAAATAATAATAAATCGGAATAAACTTACCCTCGACATTTTCGCCCTGGATGTAATTAAAAAGCCTCATGAAGCCAGTACCGGCGGCATCATCGTGTGAAAGACCCATTACCGTGGTAGCGACCCACTTGGCTGGTTCATATACCCGCTGCTCATATTTCTGCAATAAATCAATAAAAAAAATAACAATTACAAATTACAAATTCTGAAAATAAAAATTAAATATAAAAAGATATTCTGTGAAATGTAGATTCGGTCACTTAATCTATAATATTAAAATATAAAATTGAAATATATGAATCGCCGATAAAAATGTTATAGATAGAGTATATAATATTCTGTACTGTGGTGGTGATGATGATGCTGATGATGAGGGGGTGGAAATATGATGAGGATGATGATGACGACGATGACGACGACGTCATCCTGTTACCAGTCCCACAAAACTTTGGCGCCGATCTGGCTTATTGATCCACGTACTATTATATTCCCTAAACAATAAATATAAGATACCCTTGGATTACAATGAAGATGATGATGATGATGATGATGATGACGATTCTCATTATTGTTATTATTATTATTATTATGATAATTATATGATAATAAAACTCCCCCCCCCCCCCGTAAAATAATCCTGGATCCAGCAACCCGTATTTTATCTATATACTTCGCGCTCTAATTTTTATAATGAATCATAATATACTATAATATAAGTAGTGCTATTAACATAGAAAGGAAGTATAATTGATAATAACAAACTTAGTGCTATTAAAAAATAATTTTTTCTTACACCAGGAACAGTTATGACGCTTCTATAGTTGGGGCACTGAAGACCATTGCAGAAACCAGGTCCGTCATAAGTCGCTCCTCCCCCGAACCCCCTGACACACGCTTGGGTAGCATGAGCGAGGACCACTAGGACGAGTACACTCTGGATGAGGTGAGCCATAGTTATGGGTATAGCCAGTACCTGTGGGGGGAGAACATTTTTACTTGTCTATTTCACTTGTGCATGTTTCTTTCCCGAACCCTAGGTTACTAACTATTTCATTCACTCCCTATGCATAAAGGCATCTTTATAGATGGAATTCGCTTTGGGCACATCAGTTGTTTCTATATCGCGCAAGCCCCTTTCAAACTTATTTACAAGAGTTTATTTACAAGAGTTTTGCACAGTCGCTTATCCAGAATTTGACGAAAGAGGGCGGAATCCTCAACCGACCTGGGAAAGGGGGCAGTATAGACAATTCCTGGATACCGAAGTGATTTGAAATTAGTGTTACGTGGGGGCCTTAATTCAACCGGTGGGGAGGGGGATCAAACGCCGAAATCACTCTTATGATGGAAATGATTCCGAAATGTCCCTCCGTGCATGTATCAAGGGAAGAAATAGACCTGCTAACTAATGTTATACCTCCTTTTTCCACACATATTTCTCTTGACAACTCAAAAGTTTGCCAGACCAATGCCCGACATAGCAACAACTAATGTATGCAAATAAATATGCACATCGCTCATGCATCTGGCTGAAGCCCGCGAAAAAAAAATATGCGCGACCGCGCTAGTATGCCAAGTGAATCCATTTACAGGGATACCAGTAGGACCTATGCATGAATCAAATATTTGGAAACCAGGGATTCGGGAGAGAGATCTATAGAATTGCATGAATTGAAATAAATTATTTTTAGACATGTAGTACACGTCAACAGCAAATATACATCAGTTTCGTAATGTAATCAAATTTAATGCACAAATCTTTGTTCAGTGGCTCGTTACAAATTATTTCATTCACCTGCTACGAATAATTGTAATCCAATAGTTAGAATGTGAATTACATTCATTACGTATTGTTAAGTGTAAGACAAGCCATAATCTTTGTCCTAGTAAAAGATCATATAATTATATGCAATTCACATTCTGACCATTGACATACAATTGTTCTCAACAGATAAATGAAAGAATATGTAACGAGGCACTTAAGAAAGATTAGTGCATTAATTTGATACATTACGAAAATGGTCTAGTAAAGCAAGTCTTGATGAGAACAAAGGATGTGTAGATCACAATCTATACGATCTGAATAAAGACCGACAAGTAATCGAATAAAATCTGCAATGATGTGTCAACTTACCAAATTCTCGAAGAAGAAAAATTGAGTTACAATGTACTACTCCGATATATTGTCAGGCATCTGGAGTCTCTTGCGTATGTATGAATCTCTTCCACGCAGAGATGGCCTTATATAATGTTTGTGTCACGTGTCATTGTACGCCTTCCAAACTTGCGTAAGCGACAAATATAAAAGAACGATTAGAAACTTTGTTTGCTTCGCACTAACTCATGAATAACAAAAGAAAAACATCTATGGGCAGAAGTTAGCTACAAAGAAGAGGCGCTGCACGATTGCACGCTACATGGCACAAAGTCTGAAAGAGAGAGAGAAAAAATCACTTTATGTAAGTGAAGTTCAAGTGAAGTTCAACGTTATGTAAGTGAAGTTCAATGATCTATGGCGGATCCAGGATTTCTTGGCCAGGTATTAGGGGCACGTGCCCCCGGCCCCCCCAAAATGTGTTAAAATCAGCCCTCATTTCGCCAAAAATGCACTAAAAACAGGGACATCCCCCCCCCCCCGGGCCCCATTAAAAAAAAAAAATTATGTTTTATATAAAAAAAATAAAAAAAATAAAATAATAAAAATATAAAAAAAATATACCAATGACTGACCTAAATAGATGACCTTCCCCCCTCCCCCAACGGAGCAAAATGTCAAATTTACAAATGTTGTGACCCCCACCCACCCCCCCCCCAAAAAAAAAGTGTCCTCTTACCTCTTATTTCCCCCCCGAAACTTCTGCCTTTCCCATATAAGCATTCGGACTGAAAAAGTATTTAGTGAAGATAATTTGATGGAGAAAAGAGTATTGCTGTTCTTCGTACTGAACTAATTTTACGAAGCTACTTCGTCGTCCTTCTCTATCCCTTCTTCCTTCTCAAGAGCAGATCCAGGAACTTGTATAGGGTGATGGGGTGTGAGAGTGCACATCCAGACAAATCTGTGACAAGCAAATAAAGACATCATATCACCTCGTGATTTTTTCCTGCCCCCCCCCCCCCCCACTCCGTGAACGGAGGGATACCATGCGTGTTCCCAAACTATCCGGCTCGTAACAAAAGAAAAAGGTCTACCCGTATTAACTTTACACACCAGACTTTTGCTGCTGAAAAGGGGGGGGGGGGGGTCGCTGGAAACACGCATATGCGTACCCTAAATAACACTAAGTGGCGGGGCCGGGTTTTTATAAAAAGGAATTCTCTGCCGAGGAAAAAAGTCATCAGCCCAAGGATGATTCCCCATTTCCTTTCTTTCCTTTTTTTTTTCGTGTCTTCTTTTGTACTTTTTTCCCCTCACACCTTTTATCCTTTTCCCCCTTTCCTCCTTTTTGTCAAAATTTTTAATACCTCGTTTATTTTTGTTTGGCCATTTTGTAGTTGCTTTTTCCGTACTGGGGGCACGTTCACATATGCCCCCCGGTGTATCTTCACAACTAAACAAACAAGATACGGGGGGGGGGAGTACAGAGCACAATTTTTTTTTTTTTTTTTTTTTTTTTTTGCTCCCGAAAATTTCAAAAACGCGCCGGCCAAAAAGTCGCTCAGTGGGGGGTGGGGGGGGGAGGGGGGGGGGGGGGTAGTGAGCACATTTTTTTTTTGATCCTCAAAAAAAAATTCAATTTGCACCCCCCCCCCCCCCCCCCTTGAGCGCCAGGGGGGGGGGCCCAACCCCCAAAAAAGGTAAAAATCACGTGATTTTACATGATTTTTTCCCCGGGCCCCCCGCCCCCCTGGATCCGCCACTGATGTAGGCTGGATATCAATCACGTTTTCTTCAATTTAACTCACGTGTGATTCTATTGAAAGAATGATTTAGTTGATTGAAGAGATTAGTTGATCAAAGATGTTTTGTTGATTAAAAAGATCAAATTATCGGGAACTGACCTTTGACTTACATATGCCCGGGCAATGATCGCAGTATTGCCTTTTCAATTGAGAACACATTCCATGGAAAATGATAAGATACTCTAAAAATACACTAATGACATTATTACTCATCAAGCAGTATACCTATGATTAGCTGGAGGGCAAAATATATGCCACGGATACCACGATAATAATGGATTAGGGTGAAAGGTGACATAGGTCATACTCATTATTATCAATCAGGCTAAGTGAACTTAATCGACATTAAATGCCAAAATTGTTGCAATTATCATTTTATTTTTTTACATGTAAAACGTTGAATAGAAATCAAGTTAAACTTTTGGCCATTAACGATAAACATATTTTGAAATCTGTAGGAAACAATTTTCCTGTTATTTGGAACTCTTTTCCTCCTGAAATATCCACATGCAAGTCTTTAACATTATTTAAAAGAAACTTGAAGCAGCATCTTCAATCTAAATATCAATGATTCTGGCAGGCGCGGATCCAGGGGGCAGCGGGCCCTCCCCCCCCCCCCGCAAAAAAAAGAGAGAGAGAGAGAAAGAGAGAAGGGAAAGGGAAAGAGGAGAGAAAGGGAAAGAAAGAAGAGGAAAAAGGGGGAAAAGAAGGAGATCGGGGGGGGGGGGCCGAAAGGGCCTTGCCTCCCAGCTGTTACCCTCCCCCCTTTAAAATATAAGAGTGAAGGAAGGAAAGGGAAACAAAAAAGGAAAAGAGGAGATAAAGGGAAGGAAAAAAGAGGAAGAAGAAAAGAAAAGAAGAGGGATATCAGTTGTAATTTTCACTCCAACAAGTTGCCCTTGCCTCCCCATCCCCCCACCCCTCCCCCCCCCCCCCCCCCCCCGCCCGAAAAAAAAGGGGGGGAGAGGAGAGTAAAAAGGGAACAAAAAAGGAAGAAGAAAAGAAGGGGGAACAGTTGCGATTAATCCCGCCCAAAACGTGTGGATCGGAGGGGACAACTGCCTCCCCCCCTCCCCCCCCCCCCCCCATCAAACTTAAAACACTAAGCAAGGAAAGGGAAAAGAGGAGAGAAAGGGAAAGAAAAAAAAAGAGAAAGAAGAAAGGTAGGGGGATCAGTTGCGATTTTTCCCACCAACAAGGTGTAGATCGGGGGGGGGGCATTTTTCCTCAATCTTTAGTAAATTATACTTTTTTATGCGTTTGTTGGAAAATGGCAAATTCCTAAAGAAAGAAAGAAAGAATAGTAACTTGCCTTTCTCACAAAATAATAAGGTATCAAAATACGTTCATCTGACCGTAATTAAATGCCTAAAACCTATGAGCGTCCGGGGCTCCGCCCCCTCGAACCCGCCAGGGGCCCTAAGGCAGGCCCCTGCATGCTTGTCTGACCTTTATAAAATGCCTAAAACCTCTGAGCTTCTGTAGGCTCCGCCCCGTGGACCCCATACCAATTAGTGACCTGCCAGTGTCACAAATAAGGTATCAAAATATGCTCATCTGACCATAATTTATTGCCCAAAACCCCTGAGCTTCCGGGGCCCCGCCCCCTGGACCCCAAGCCTATTCGCGACCTACCAGTATCACAAATAAGGTATCAAAATATACTCATCTGACGGTAATTTAATGTGTAAAACCTCTGAGCTTCTGGGGGCTCCGCCCTCTGGACCCCACACCATTTTGTGTCCCACCAGTATCACAAATAAGGTATAAAAAATATGCTCATCTGACCGTAATTTATTGCCCAAAACCCCTGAGCTTTTTTTCTCATTTCGCCACTGCCGGTGTCACCATTACGTACCAATATTTTGCTCGCATAATTTCAAATGTGCCCCACCCCCCCCCCCCCCCCTCAAGAAATCCTAGATCCGCGCCTGGTTCATTCTTGTACCAATAATTATATTATACAACGTTAACTATAACTGTTTCCAAATTTATGATTTTGTAATGATTACGTCCATTTGTATTACCTGCCATGAACGATGTCCCTGTCATGTTTTGTCATGTATGTGTCTTTTTAAAGTTTTGTTTGTTTATGTAAATCTCTTAACTACTGTTTGCCTCCACAAGGCCATTTGGCTTTTCCCTTTTGTTCCCTATTTTTATTTTCTTATGCATTGCAAATGTTTGCTATTGTATATATCTTTGTATTGTTTTCATTGGAATGTAATTGAATTGAACTATATATGATGATGATTATGATGACAATTAACTACTGCGTATGAACACGCTTTAAATGTGAACAAGTATAGTCACTCGGTTTATTGGTGTGTAATAGGCCATTTTCGTAATGTAATCAAATGTGATGTAAAATGTTTTGTTAAGTGCCCATTTACAAATGATTTCATTTACCTGCTACGAATAATTGTATTTCAATAGTTAAAATACGAATTACAACAGTACACGTTGTTTGGTAGGACAAGCCATAATGTTTGTCTACCTAGTAACAAGGAATGTATGCAATTCGTATTCTGACTATTGAAATACAACTATTCATAACAGGCAAATGAATTAATTTGTGACATTGCGCTTAGCATTGATTACATTACGAAAATGGTCTTCGTACGAACACGGTCAACTGTAAATAAGTCGTACATCCTATGAATTGTGTAAATACGCTGTTCACGGTAGTGATGTATAGCGTGTACATAGAGATATAGTGTTAGTAGTTATATATCTCTATGAGCGTGTATTACATCATTGCGGTAAAATTGTGCAAATCCAAGTTCAAAGTATGCGACCTTCTCCAACGGCAATAGTTTCCTGTTATTGTCCAGCTTTTGATCGGGTGGGGGGGGGGGGGGGTGTTTGACTTCATTACACAACCGACCCCAATGGGCGGATCAAGGATTGTCTAAATTCTAAAAGATGGGCGGCCAGCCAACATTTTCCCCTATTGCAACGTTAATAGATAACAACATGGAAAGCGTTGCCGAAGGGTATGAGAGTGAGAGAGAGAGAGAGAGAGAGAGAGAGAGAGAGAGAACGAGAGTCAGAAAGAGACAAGCAAAGAGAATATCAATACACCCCATACATTATATAAAATCAAGTTTGATAAGAAACTCGATCCACATAATTGTTTACATAAAATTCAAATGTTTTGGCCAGATATTAAAATATAATCATATTTTTTTCAAATTTCAGCAGTTATATTATAATTTGTTGTTTTTGATGTAAGGTAAAGAAGGTTCTAAAGCACAACAAATCAATGGATGCTTCAACAATTATTGGGGCCTCTTGCAGGGGTCCGGGGTGGACAGTGAAGTAAACAAAACATAATAGGGGAGTATTGGGGAGGTCGTCCGTTAAAAGGGCCTTTCTTTAGTTGGCTTTAACCCTCGTGTAGAGTAAACTATAGGGGCGTCTTTAAGGGCCCATGACATCGAAATACAAGTGTATTCCTGTTGGTGTGCAGTCCTGCATACATCTCATATTTTGATATGTAAACTTCTGAATTTGTTTCATAGATTTTTAAATATTTGTTTTAATAATTTTAAATATTTGTTTTTCAAAAAACCTCTAGATCTCATTCCCCTTGTGACATCGTCTGTCAGTCATCAATGAGCTAACTTGAGAAAATTGCATGTAACTTTGCCAAAGTTGACCACCCGTTACAATACCACAAACAATAGCAACATTTTTTAAAAATTCTTTTGATAGATATACAGGGTGTAACCCATAGAGATATATATATCTCTATGGTGTAACCCCAACATCTTTACCTACAACTCTCAACCTGATTCAAGTATTCTCAGCTTAACAAGAGAGGGCACTATTCAAAATAACAGTCACTTCACATTCATTCATTCATTCATTTTTATTTTTTCATTTCCAACAAAATACAATACATGATAACGAATACAATGTAAAATGTATACAAAACATAGTTACATTGGTAATAAACAAATCTTAATAATAATTTATACATTTTAGGAAGACAAAAAATTTAACTGTATTTATATTTTGAGGAAATGGAGAGGTCCACTGAAAAGCAGAGCTTGTAAATTGTGGATCCCTCAGATAATAATGAGTGTGAACAAAATATGAAATACATAATCAATGAAAGAAGAATAGTGGCCAACAGAGAACATTTATTAAAACACGTAATGACTGTAAACAAGAAGACGTAACAAATTACATGACCAAGAAAGAACAGAAAAAAGAACAGAAAAAAGACATTGATATGTAATCATAATTCATTAAAATGCACTAGCGGTACTATTATTATGACAAAGGTGGAAGATAGTATTCATTACAAGAAGGCAAGCCGAAAAGGTATGCATGAAGCGCATCCATCACTTTGGCAGTGAATATTCTAAAATCACATAGTGAGACGTCTCCATGTTTTGTCAAAGATCTGTTGATAGTAGGAGGTAAGCGGCTTTACATAGACCGACATGCAGTACCGCTGGCGTACATAACCTATCACGTGACCTCACGATATTGTCCAATCATAGATCGGTTTTATCTTACACTCCAGTAAAACAAACTTATGTGACTGAAATTGAATGAAGGCCCTCTCCGTGTTTTGTGTTTTTAATGAAACGAGCAGATTCATGAAAATCGATAAATTCATGATTATTTTCAATTATCCATTTCCACAGCAGTTTGAGTGCGTTCCTTTTCTGTGTCTAGGACAACATCCCTGCAGTTACTTATATAGAGAGCAAATTAAGCATCGGCGGAAAAAAAAACAATTCGAGAGATGGTTGGAGACTAGGAAATACAGGAAAGAAAGAAAGATACGCTTTAATAGAGATATGGACCATGGATAGAAAGAGAGAAAGAGAGAGAGAGAGAGAGAGACAAATGAGAGAGAGAGAGAGAGAGAGAGAGAGAGAGAGAGAGAGAGAGAGAGAGAGCGGGGGGGGGGGGGGGGGGAGCACGAGCCGCGGGAAGGGGAGGTTAGTAAAGGGAACTAGGTGGAAAGACAGTGACGGACCAGAGGATTGAGAGGAAAGTTGCGAATGAGAATAGGAGAAAAAAAGTGGGGGGGGGGGCGGGTGGGAAGAAAGATTGGGAACTGGACATGTTCAGTAACGATCTTCTTTTTGTGTTTCTTCCTCTGATATTTCCAAATATCAATGGTGATAATATCAGTAAAAAGTCCTGTATGACTTGTGTCTACTTTTAGAGGATTGTATATGAACACATTGGTTTGTCATGGATTTGAGCGCTATAGAGATCCTCGAAATAGTCCATGTCCGATTTATGAGCCGCTCCTTCCCTCACCTCGATCCGGCCTTGACTGGACATTTTGTCCCCCGTAGTGGTTCCTTCGACCTTTGGAAGATAATCTCTTTTAAACATTAAAACTATAAAGCTAATATTACATATATATTAGGCTGAAAACAGAGCTACTCCTGAGTCCTGTCATTCCAACCACGTACTGTTTATTATTTTACAGGCAAGTATGATATTATGTGACAATTCCCTGATGCCATAACTTTACAACATATTGGGTATAACAATGTGTTGGAACTCCTGGGTATACCCAGCTGATGCCAAGCAGGAAATCGGATAGATAGTTGTTGATGTTTTTTTTTTTCTCACCACTTAGTGATGATGAGTTATATGGGCCTTAGGCCAGGAAACCTGACGCGAACCTGTAGTTTCAATCTCCATTCAAGTTACTGAGATTAATTGGGTGTATTCACATCATCATTTCCTCTGTTTTTCTCTCAAAGTTATACCCACAAATTTGACGATTATACACACATTTTTAGAGACACTGGGAGAAAAAGGCTTTGACTTAAAAGGGATTAATTAAAATTAATGTGACAGACACCGTGTTTTCAATACCGGTATCATAACCTACACGTACTGCACGCTTGAATACTTTGAACTGATTGCGTAATCGCGATGATGAACGAAGAGAGTTCATCAAAATCCAAAATGGCCGCACAGACACCAGGAATCCAGCAGCTCTTGCAGGCAGAAAAGAGGGCAGCCGACAGGGTTGCAGAAGCCAGAAAACGTGAGTTTATATCTTATTTTAAAGCTTAACTCTCATGTAATTTGTAATTTATCATTCCATGTGGATTTTTCAATGGCTTCATTGACTTTTTGGCCGGAACATAGCCCGGAATGGATGTATTCGCAAGTAGCTTCGTGACTCGGTTAAGCTGGGCGGAGCAGCTAGCGGCTACATGTACATAGCGAACGTTCCCGGCATCACATGATCGCTGTGCACCCGGCTTCGTAGACTGTACATTATAATGCGGGTAGTGGTATAATCACAAGATCACATGATGGTGTGCACAATCATTTTCAACCTAATTTAGTTTTTAGACTATTCTTACATGGCTTGCCTTGTAATTCTCAAAATTTGTTGGACCATTTGTATAAATTTCTAGTTAATTGTATTATAAAGGGTCGAAGGGGTAACCAACGCTCGCAGAGATTTTGAGAATGTTACTGTTACTAGAGGTCTACGTTAGAAAATGTGATAGACTAGATCTGTTCCATCTTATGATTTCTCATATTCTACACAAATTCATTTATTTCAATTATTAACAAATGCCTGAATGGCAAAGTATTTTACTACAAATTGGTTCAACTAGAAGTAGAAAATTCATTGTCAAAGGATTCTGGAGATATCGCGATCTAAAAATTTGATGTTCGATCGGCGTGCACGCTGCAACTAAAAAAGTCTTAAAAACACCAAGACCTTACTTTGGGCACAGCACGCCACGCAGGGTCACGTCTAATTTACGAATAGTTCACGGAATGCGTAACCACCAGGACACGCATTCATAGACTATGCGCATGACATATGGCATATGCACTGCCAAAAAGTATGTGCAGCCAGTGCGCAAAAGCCGCAAATCGTGAGCAAAGTAGTTGTTAACTAGTCGTGAACATACACGCATCAGCGCGCACTGGCACGACTAGGTATCATATAGGGTGCGCATAGTTCACGAAGTGTTCACGAACGTTGTCAAACAAAATTGTTGTGCCCAAATTTTGAACGTTTTTAAAATTCTGTCATGCATTTCACGCACGGCCCGCATCCTCCCGCTACCACAAATACTTCCCGCATTGGCACGCAAGAGTATGTGTCTATGCGCAAACTATGCGCAAACCAAAATGCGGGCAAGTGTCAACGAGGCATATCATAGTATCAGTTGGTATCACTTCTTACATGTATACAATTTTGAGGATATCTGCTCTCAAAACGGAAAATTTCCAGACCCTTATCGCTTATACTATATCCGATAAGTTAATAATTTTTGGAACAGAGTCAACAGACGCAAATGACTGCAAAATTTGCTGCTCTTTTGTCAATATTTTCATAATTTTACACCGAATTCCAGAAAAAATTCTGTATCTGGGTAATTTGATGTTCCTCTTTCCATTAATGATATCAGATTTTCGAAATCTTACCACTTTTTGAGATAGCGAACTTAAAGATAAACTTGAGTTCTGGTAAAAAAATAAAATGAATTCTCACAGAATCTAACGAAACTTACACTGAATGTTCAAGATTACAAATAAATGTCATGTGCCAAACAATTTTGGAAGAAAATGTATACTGGCTGAGTAATGAGCATAGAAAGATAAGGAAATCAGGGTAGTACTAGCCCCGACACCATGTGTGTTGTCCCATATACATCTTTCTGTGTAAGTGATTGTTACTTTACCAAGACTCTGCCAAATTTATGATGATTTTGATGACTCTAGAACCTTGCATTACACACCATTACTTACATGCTATATGATCAACTTTTCTTTCATAATGCAATCGCATTACCAGTACTCAAGTTTATCTTTAAGTTACGTGCAAACTATGGGCACACCACCTTACTATTTGTAGTGCTGCAGCCTTAAATTAATTGTGAAGTTATTTTTTGACATCAGATTATCAGGAAATTGTCACAAATTCCTGGTAAAATAATGAATAGTGGTTAGAATGACAGGACTCTGGAGTAGCATGGCACACCAGCTCACAGTCACAGAACTAACTGCACAAAAGTATGAAAGCACTTTACCCAGAGGACAGTACTTGCACTGGTGACTAGAAGAAGAAGAAAAAGCTCTGATATTGGCCTAAAATAAAAATCCAAATATACATGTACATTTACATGTATGTAATACTAATATTATGCTTAAAGTTTTTTAAATGTTTAAAAGGGATGATCTTTCAGACATTTTTAAGGAAAGGTTTCATCTACAAGAAGTGTTGTCCGACTGGAACAATCTCCCTCCAAAAATAATTGACTCAAACTCCATTTATACCTTAATTCAAAATGAGATTGGATAAATGCTAGTAGTCTGAACGAGTTGATATATGATCAGAATTCAGAACCGTCTCTACCTTGTGCCTGTGCAAAATAAAGACATAGATTCCCCATCTATCAGAGATTGTAGAACCTAGCCAACCCTGAAGAAGTGACTGAGAATTACAGGATCAACCCTATCTTATCACATTGATGATGATGATGATAATAATCACCTAGCCTTAATTGGACTCTTCTTTCTGCTTTACTAATACAAGGCACTTTGAAATACTTAAAAATAATAGTGATTAGTTTAGTACACTACAGCGCATGCACGGTGTTCGCTGAATCTTACGAGCTCCCTGTACGTGCGCCTTTTTTTTCACTAATCAGCATTATCATAAAGTAAGTATTAAAGATTGATTTGGGTTTTTTTTAGTGCTGTAACATCACGGATAACTCCAATTCCGTTTAACCGCCAGTCAAAACCGGACGGTTTTCGGTTAAACGATTTTTAAAAAATTCAAAAAAATTCAACAACAAAAAAAAAAAAAAAAATCATTTTTTTAAAAATTTTTTTTTACCGACTCTGTCGGCAACTTTCATTTAACTGCGAGGTGCATTTAAAGGGGCCGATTTGTGCTTGTGAACTTGTCACAAATAATAGTAACAACGTTGTTTTTAGAAGAATGTGTAAGATCATTAATGTAAATTAAAAACAGTAGAGGACCAAGGACAGAACCTTGTGTAAAAGTTGGATGAATTATTATTATAAACTACATATTGAGATGATGAGATCTATTACAAAGATTACTTTCAAACCAGGATGACAGACTAATTGGAGTGTTGTTCTAGTTTTGGAGTGGTGAGTCAACACACAGATTACTGAGCTGGGAGACATTGCCAGGCATAATGCCAGGTGGAGGGGCATAAATCGAAACTTTAAAAAAAAAAAATTATAAAAAAAAAAAAAAAAAAAAATCGGGAAAACGAAACCGTCCAATTGAAAACGGAATCCGCCATGGGCGGTCGGATACCGGACGGTTAAACGTTTGACTACAGCACTAGTCTTTTTAACAAAAACACACCAATGTTTTAATAAACTTGTGATATATGAAGACTCTTGTGACTTGTGAGGTACATATTGCTCATAACTCAGCTCAATTCAGTCTTTATTTTCATTCTCAATAAAAACAAGATATAAACAACAGAGCATCATCAATATGAGGGGTCAACTCCTCTCTCTGTTTTACCCCCTTTGTTTATTTTACCTCATTCCCCTTTTTGTTTATTCTTCATCCTATCATCTCTGAAATATTTTTTCTTTTGTTTTTGACATGCAGGAAAAGCTAGGAGGTTAAAGCAAGCCAAAGAAGAGGCGCAGCAGGAAATAGAAGCGTACAAGAAAGAAAGGGAGCTACAGTTTGAAGATATTCAACAAAAGGTAAAAAAGCAATTTTTGACATTTATAGTGTTATACATTCATGTAGTAGCTTCCTCACAGAGACAAATTCACATTAGTTGAACTATTAATGTACTGCAAAGATCCAATATATTTATGGGGTAATTGCAAACGTGTCATGGGTGCTAGATATCAGGCATTTGCCTTTCCATGCTTTTTCAGGCTTTGCATCTACAGAATGTATGGGCTTCAATGTTACTGTAAGGATATATTGACTGCTTTGAGAGGCATAGTGGTTTCTATAGGGTCAAGGGAAACTCACAACCTGCTATGACCCCAAGGCGCTTGCGCCGCGGGGTCATAGCAGGTTGTGAGTTTCCCGAGACCCTATAGAAACAACTATGCCTCGAATATTAAAAGCAGTCAATATATATTTTATATACCGAAAAAAAGGAAAATGTTGACTCACCCATCTTAACCATCTTAACCCATCTTGCTGTAATAATCGCCGTTCTTCTGCCTGCAACCCGCATAGAATTTTTGAAGGATCTTGTCCAGGTCTGCATTCGGAAGTCTGTTTACATCTCCGAGGTCCGTGTTGACATTTCGCAAGAACTCTTCAAATATTTTAATGCCGTATTTTACTGCATACTTCGTATTTTTGCTATCAGCAGAATCGATTAAGTCTTGCAGCTGAATGTCATCCATAAGTTGAAATCTTGGCATAGCTGTGTCCTCCATTTTGCCTCTTTATTGACAAAAAATTGGAAACAAAAAACCCCAGTATTTTGCGATCGAGACTAGTACACAAAATGGCGATCAGTCGTCTGCGCTGCGTGGATTGGTAGATTCGTCGTCTGAATGCAGCGACCAAAATCGAATTGCACTCAAACACCGTTAACGGTATTGCGCATCGGTCATCGCACAAAAGAAACTTATATAAGGTAACACGTAAACCAAAATGGGGATCGCAGCAAAATGACGTCACGTTTCACAGCCATGGAAAAAGTGCTATGAAAAATGGATATAAACCGGTAGAGCCGGGAAAAATGACTATGAATTTCAATTAGCGGGCATGGTTAAGAACATGACTGCATTTTCAACCAATCAGAAGACAGGATTAGTAAAGAATCTTAAAATGAGGTATATAATAATCACTATGAATGGTCATGATCACTATGAACAATAACATTAAAATTGGCATATCGGTCATTTGACATATATAGGTATATGTAAATGTAGTATAACATCTCTGTTTCATTTGCTTATAAAACTGTCCATCTCATCTTCTCTCTCTCTCTCTCTTTCATTTTCTCTCTTTCTTTCCCTATCTCCCTCCCCCTTCTCTTGTTTATTACGTGTTTAATACATGATTGTCTTTTTTCTCTTCTTTACCTCTGCAGTATTTAGGTTCAAAGGGAGACCAGGCCCGCGAGATCGAGATCCAGACCGCTGCAAAGATTCAGGAAATCAACCAGAGGGTTGGCCAAAAGCGAGGACAGGTCCTAAATGATCTATTTGAAATGGTCTTTGACATCAAACCAGAGCTACATCAGAACCTCCAGTTGTGATTTATAATATGCATAATGTATCTTCTATCGGCAATATAATTTTAGACCACTGTGGCCCATATTCTCGAAAATTCAACCCTGCCTAATCTATCAACCCTTTGCCACAGGGAAGTGAGTGGCTCGTGTATCAGAGCTTACCGGAATAAATTCTATGGTTACTTGGTTAAATTACTGTTTATCTTGTAACAGAATGGAGAGGCAAAATAAAGATTTGTTATGGATTAAAAATGAGAAATTAATTTCATAGAGGTAATGTTTTCCCCCATTTAGGACCAGAATTATGGTTGTATGAACAGGAAAATGTTGTCATTTGGCACTCTATTAATTGGTGGACTAACTCTTTGCTCTGAGGCGTAAATAAGATGTTGTCTAAAGTTGTCTGAGAATACTTGTCAAAGGGTTAAAAGTAATATGTTGAAGGATTTTAGCTTCCTCTTTTTATGAAATATGTAGTAGAAATAGTCATGTATGTAGCTATAGGTACTTCTCTTTGTATTATTTGGTGTTATTGGTTCATTTGGTTGGTTGTATCAGTTTGGAAAGTTTGTGTAAAGCAGGGGATCATTGCAACAAAAGGCAAAAGGGAAACAAAGGCTCGCATTTAACAGTACCGGTAATCAAAAAATCAAAGTGATTCATAATTTGTTACAACTTGTACAGATAGCTACGCAAAGGTGTTGTGGTCGGGTTGATAAGTCTCCGGACTATTAACCACAATATACAAGGTTCCACTACCTGCCACGGCACGTCATTTGGCAAGAAATTAATCTGTATTTCGCACACATTTTGTGCCTGGTAGGATGTACTGAGGGCTATGGTTGCCGGAGCTAAAGCTTGATTAGTGACATCCAAAATCCTTTGGAAATGCATAGAAACACTAAATCATAATGTGATATGCACCATACTAGAATTGCATATGATCTTAATACTGTTGACATGTAATGTTTGGTCCAAAGAATAGATTTTAATCAACTATGCCAAAATGATGAATAACCTGAATTACTTTTTGCACTGGTAACAATGCTCTGCGTGCTGTACATTCTGAAGTGGTAATTTCTAAAGTTACCAGCAGCTACTGCCCTTTACTGTTAAATCATGACGAGAAATACAAAGTAATGAGTTTTATTTCAGTATTAGTTTGTGAACAAGTTATATTTTGTGCCTTGTGTTGTTTGTGGATATGAGTACACCTTCATGAATTTGTGAAGGAGAAACATGAACATTCCATTCATAATTAATCAACGTACATCTCATTATTAAATATTTAAAAAAGAGAAAAGAAACGGACATCTTTTATGGCATTTATTAGTTATGGGAGGTTATACTAGGATTGTTACTACTTTTGATAAAAATCACTCATATAATTTGATGGGTTCCTTAATCTGTAATTCTTCGATTATTGTTAGCTTTTACAGTGTGTGGGCCACTAAGTTTAGAAATGCGTACCTCAAAGAACCTTTTGTGAGACAAGTTTTTTTTTTTTTTTACAATTATCATCGAGAAACTCTTCATTAAAATTACAGGGGTTGTCTCTCAGACATCTAAATTCTCAATCCAGAAATCTGTGATGAAAGACAAGCTTTTCATCGTCCAGAAAAAAGACTTGATCAGAATTTGGATGGCTTAAGTTGAAAACAGCTCTGAAAGAGTTAAGAATACTGACAGGAGTGCTCACTTCACTCAATTTGTTTAGGCATAAATATTAAATGCAGAGTTGTTTCTTTAAAGACCTCTTCAGTTGGAGAGAATTATTGTCTTTTCTCTCTTTCTTTTTTCTTTTACTCTAAAAAAATTAATTCAAGATTTACTTTGTTTGAAGCCCCAAATGACAGTGTATGTATGAAATGTTGTATGATTTTGTTAAAACATATATATATTGTCCATTTTATGTCAACATTATATCAGTACACCCTATTAAGAAAAAATATATAAATGTTATATTACCATCATAAAGAAATGTTTGAATGTGTCATTATTTTCATTACTTAATTCTTCGTCTGTATGTAGAGTTGTCCAATCTCAAGGCATGGAATATGGACTAATATAATCTTGCCTTGAAAACAATACTTTTCTCAATGAATATAAAATACGATTCAATATGAATGCCTTCTTTGACATAAAACAGTAATGACTGTGATGTGATGAAACGATTCCTTGTTAATTTGTTTCAATTATGCCTAGGCCCTGTTTAATTAAACTTGGTATCAATAACAAATTACGATAATTGTTGAAAGCTACTGAAATCCTTGCATCTGATTGGCTGTGAGCAGATTTGTCATAGATCTGTGGAAGTTGTTATTGACAACAAGTTTTATGAAACGAAGCCCAGATGACTATTGAACCAAACTACAACTAGAAAATGTGTGCAACAAAGATATCCATGACACCGGCATCTTTTCCATTTCTTTACGATTTTCTACCTTGTGAGGTTTTTCAAGATGACAGTAAATTTAATGGTGTGGAGAATGATTACAGTTTGGATTGTAAATGATTGATAGTGATGGGTTTGGGATTCATTGAGAGTTGGGAGAATGTGATAACAATTTAGAGATTGGGGAGTCTGTTGAGAGGAATTTTTGAAATTATTTTGGAATGAACAATTGGTTTCCAAAAAGAAAAATGAATAAATAAAATCGAACATATACGGGTAATGATTTACAAATGTATCTATTATAACAAAAGCGAGTAAAATTTGATAAAGATATTAAACAATTGTACTCATCTTAACAATCTCTGCCCAAAAAAATGGATGATACAAATGAAATAAAAAAGGGGAAGATAACGAAATTTTAGGAAAAAAAAGGAAATACAATTAAAAGATGAGGTTAGCACATCTCAGGTGTCTTTTCACTCTAAATTTGCTACCTCGGGGGGGGGGGGGGGTGAGATTTCTATTCTGTTTTTACTGGCAGAGAAAATGTGTCCACCAAAGAATTCAATACGAATGCCAGAATGGTGGTTATAATTATGATAAATGGGCGTATCGGTGTTTCAAAAGTGCTAGTGCCATCTCGCGGCCAATGTTTTTAAGCTTTGTTAACTTTAGCAGAAACCTATTTAGCAGAAACGTGGATTTATTGTGATATTCGCCTGTGCTTTGTTTACGTTGTTCGAAGTAGCGAGAGTTTTGCTTAGGAAAGGAACAAACAGAATCTGGATACTTTTACTGAAATACTGGTTTTAAAATGCCCACGATAATTAGAGGAGTTCCTGTCTAGAAAATGGAGAATAAGGGAAAGGAGGGAGCGGTGAGTAGATTGATGAAATAAGGGTGATAATATGAGTTGTTTGTGCGGTTTCTTTTTGCCACTGTGTGTGTGATTTGTCGGTCTTGTGGCTTCATCGCAGCCCGATGGACGTGCGTTGTTTGTTTGTTGTGTCACGGTCGCGGTCCTATCCACTGCTGTTCGACTCGGACTCGTCGGAGCTGTAAACATTTTACATTTTTTTGTAGGTCTTTATAAGACTAATTGAATAGAAAAAAATGATTTATTCAGTGAAAAGTGCCTAAAGATATTTTGAAATCAATCGAATATCAATTAACTAATCACGACACCATACCCTTGCCTTTTGGGGGAAAATCTTAGCAGAGTGCAGAAGCAGCAGAAGTGTGTGTTTAATCAATGCCATCATACAACAAGCCTAAAGTCAAGGCAAGGCATCATCCCCTTTCATAAAATTGATGTGAAATGTTTTTATCCAAGTTTTGGTGAATTTAATTTTGGGCTCCCAACCCTTTAGAGGGGCTTAAATGCAAGCGGAACAAATGAGAAAACAGAGCAGTGAACTTTGTAGAATGTCAACCCCCCCCCCCCCCCCCCCATCATGCCCATGTAAACGTTACTAGGTCTGATATAAATTGAATGCACATTTGTTCTTTTGATATTTTTGTGAAACAGTGCAATACACTCTCATTATTGCATACTGTACATATTTACTTACCCCCTTATTGAAATAGATTTTAAGCATCGAACCCCCGCCCCCCCCCCCCCCCCCCCCCCCGGGGGGGGGGGGGGGGGGGGGGGGGTTCACTCTCAACATGGCTAGCTATGCATCCGCATCCAGAAAAATGTTGGAAAGGGTGTCTTTTTCAGCTATATGGCGTAGTCCACGTTTTCCTTAAAAAGGGTTTTTTTTCAGCTCACTGATCGCATAAAAACTCCAAAAGGGTACCTTTTTAGGTTCACAGGTTCAACATAGTTGATGTTTTCCTAAAAAAGAGGTGTTTTTCAAGCACTGATCGCACACACTAAAACAAAAAGAGGTATCTTTTTATGTTCACAGTTTTCAATGTTTGCTTTAGAAAGGGTCATTTAAAAAAAAAGGTGCGATAGGTGCGATATGTACGCCATTAGGGTGCATTTCAGAGGTTCATGGACATAGGTAGGTGGCACTTGTGTATGAGAGTGACCCCCCTCCCCCCCCCCCCTCGGGATTGAACCACCCAGCTGGAACCATCAAGAAAATAGAAATTCATATCAAAGTTAAATACAGAGCTACATGTAAATGTAATGCCAAGCCAGTCAAGAGAAAACTTTTACTGATCTCTTTCTCTAGTTTTTTTTCCGCATTCATGAAAACCAAAGCATCAGGGAAACTTACCTTTAATTAGGGGTATATTACTTTAAGATTAGAAATTGATATTCACACCTTCAAAATTGACAATCAAATCAATTTCAAAGCTCATCTGATCAATTTCAGTGAAATCACACTACCATAGCTTCTACAGTATGTAAGAATGATAATGATTAACTTTTGATAATGTGTGTGCACTCAGACTTTATTTGCCAAGTAAGATCTTCAGTGTGAATTGGACATTTTTCTCTTATGAAAGTTAATGTAGAGCATAAAAAACTGCTTTCACTCATCCCTCACCTGTTTCTAAAAAATGTTTTACATGTTTGAAAAATGAAATTAACTTACAGGAGTTTCAGATGCAGACAATTTCCCTCCCGTCTCTTTACTTTTTGCCTTTATTCTATGCAATATCTACCGTATTGTGAAATGTATTACACACACTGTACATGTATTAAGAGATCTTTGAAGTTGAAAGTGAAAAGGTTTTTCCAAGCTTTCATGATTGCTTTTTTCGTTTTACAAACTTTAGCTACCTGTATTAACTAAATATAGACCGTTGAGAAAATTACAGGAAGGTTGAGCACTTTACTTTCCATTTTGTATATTATTATTGCAGTTGAATTGGAAAATAAAAGGGAAATGAACATGTAAATTTATGCCATTGAATTGTGTGCTAAATCAAGAAGGGAAAGTCTAGAAGCAAGGAAATCCTGAAAATTGGGGAAATCTGAATAAAAAGGGAAGGAAACCGCGATCTTGTGACGTTTTGGCCCTATCTCACTCCGGGTTAATTTTTGTTTTGTCAGGACTAGATTACGACCCAAGTCACCCAGCATGGAACATTACAACACATGACGTTATTTGATTCTCAGTTGGGCCTGCTATTGCATGCAGCGATCATGTGAATGTCATACTGAACTGTTCACAATGTAATTTGATTATAGTGTAGTGTAGAGTTTTGTGTTAAATGTTGAATTGCATCACAAACTTCGATTCTTAGAAGCAATTTTCTTTTCATTTTCATGTGGTGAAATTCCATTGTTTGAGGTTTTTGCATGGCAATTTCCTTGAAATTTATTGCTGTTTTGTAGTGTACTGTTTGTGTACACATTTACTGGTACAGTGCGTTGAGTTTGTTACAATCTACCATTGTCTTTTTGTATTTCTATTTATTTCAATTTTTTCAGTATTATAGGACTTTATTCATTCTGCGAATTGTATGTGCAGTGTTTAAAGGAGGATTCATGTAGTGGGACATGATTTTTTTAAAAGGGACCCTTTTGACTAAACTGAACTAAATTTCTGGCTGCATTTTTTATGATTAAAATGCTGCTGCTGCTATAGTACATTCATATTGTATGTTGACAAATGATACATTTTGCCAGTTGTAATTTCTTTCTGAAGTTAATTTCTTTGATGGGCAATAGTGCATAATGCAATTTTTAATGCAAGAAAATAAACACTGTAAATACTTAAATTGTATATACACCTTGGGAGGTTTGACTCAGAAGGAAGGTGGGGGGGGGGGGGGGGTGCTACAGTGTATTGTCCTGTTTGGAGGAAAAAGGTATTTTCTTTTTTATGCTCTATAATGTTTGTCCTACCTAGCAACAATTAATGTACATGTATGTAATTTGCATTCAGACTATTGAGATATATTTATTTGTAACAACTACATTGTAACAAGGCACTTCACAGAGATTTATGCGTTAAATTTGATTACATGTACATTACGAAAATGATACGTACTGTACCTTAAAATAACACCATTAAAATGACCCTATATCGATACCAAAACTTGCTTTGCATTCAATATATGGTCAAAGCTTGTACATGTAAGTACAGTACTGTCATGCACTACCATCACTCTCCATTCTTAAAATACTGGTGGGTACCAGTTAGAAATGCTGGTACCAGCACACTCTCTCAAGTTTGTTATTGACTTTCATAAGTTTATAGTACAAGTGAAAATAATTTCAATAGTTGCCTATTTCCTGAACCAAGAAATTGAGAATTTCCTTCTTGGAAAATGTACCACCCACTTTAAGTTTCCTAGTCCTAATCATCATTTAATTTTTCTTGCCCTTTCCCTTGTTGTTTGACCTCCCTCTCTGTCTTATCTTTATGTTATGCAACTAGTTCGATTATCAACACCCTTCATTTCACCATTTAATACATGTGTGTACATGTATGTATACATTGTACCTGTAACTTGTAAGTTGTATGCAGCATTTAAATATTAAAAGGAGCAGAAATTTGAAAGAGACAGACAGACAGACAGACAGAGAGCAAGAGAGAGAGAGAGAGAGAGAGAGGGAAAGAGAGGGAGAGAGAGAAAAGAGAGAGAGTGAGAGAAGTAAGAGAGAGAGAGAGAGAGAGAGAGAGAGAGAGAGAGAGAGAGAGAGAGGGGGATGGGGAAGGGGGGGGGGGGGAGAAAAGAAGGAGGGAAGAAAAGAATGAACAAGAAAGCTTTGTGACATACATGTAAGAAGTACAAGGACAGTTTTAATTGGAAAAAAAGACGCTTGTAACAAGTTCTTGAGAGTTGTACATGGAGAAGACCAAGATATGTGTGAGAGGTCATCTGATGACCATGCTTGTTGTATGACTAGGAAATGACTAATTATGGTGAAAAAATAGAAATTGGTAAGTAACAAATAAAATGCTCCAACAGCTAAAAGTCAAGTGGTACACAAGTTTAAAGTCTAAAGTTCATTGCAAACTTGTGGGATCTTGGGATCAGCCAACCTGTATCATTCATACAAAAAACAAAAAACAAAGATCACAAAAGAGATAATGCATGCAGTTATTAAAAAGATGAATTCCAGTACACATACATGTACTGAAGCATTCATGAAAAGTATGATGGTAATAAAAAGAGAAAATATATGCAAACGTCATTCAGCTGATGAAATATGATAGCCCAGCCCTTGATTTTACCTTGTACCAAGAAATCGATTGTGACGTACATGTAGCTTGTCAAGCGTGTCAATGGCTATGTTCACACACAAGAGTGACAAGACTGTTGAAGTCTTAAACTTGAAGTTTGCAAAACCTCAAATCTATATGAGTTTGAGTTTGAGTTTGAGTTTGAGTTTGAAGTTTATTATCCAAAACAAAAAGTACATTGATATAACAATGAAATGTAAATGGTTAACATTGAAAGGATGAATGGGACTAATCAACAATCCACTAAAAAGTAACGAAGAGTATTCATACAGGGCTGAAACAAAGAGTTCTCAAAGTTTTAAACTACAAAGTTAATACAAACGAGGGTTAATTAAAAGCGTTAATTTCAACTACAAGCTGACGTAACCTCAAGTTAATTGCGTTTGCACAGTACATAACATACAGTGAGGACCACCCCCAATGCTCGTAGTAAATTGCGCAGTTGTGGTTTATAACTTTGAGTTTATAACTTAAAGTTTGTATTAAACCATGAGTGCATCTGCTCGATCTACAACTACTCCAAGATAACGTTGAAATTTAAAACCATGACCTTAACTTAAAGTTATTGGCAGTTAAGTGAACCTCACTACAGGAGACCCAGTCTGAAGGCCCTATTTTCAAAGAAGCGTTCAATGAAGCATGCAGGGAGTACATGTATTCAATTATTTTCTTTTTGTTGTTTACTTGACCTCTGTAAAATATCCTGTATTTAAAAAAAATGAATATTGGTAGGTATTTTGGAGGAGGCGCTACAGTATGTACAATGTACATGTAATGTGCGATCATGGACTAGCACTGAATGAGGGAAATTATTCTTTCGATAAAGATGCCTCATGCCTTTACAAATGAAATGTGCAATTATATTCATTGATTTTGTAATAATATCATATTTAACGCCAATTTGCTAGTTTTAGATTCATACCACACCCTTTGTATATTTGATAAATTTGGCACAGTAATAAATTGATTTCTTATATTTGGACAATGAAAAAAAAAAGACACAAAATTACACTGTCTGTTTCACTTCAAAAAATCAATTCCTAATTATTTTTGTTATTTTGAAGACCAGCATAGTGCTAAAGCAAAATAAAAATATAAACTAACAAAATGCAAAATGCCAAATATTTGTTTTATGAAGTTTACAGGCCTATACGAAGTACAGTGGAGATTTAGGTATACTACTTGGATTACAGGTATAAATAATTCAAATACTTCATATCTCCCTTCCCAATATGGTATTTATACAAAATACAAAATGTAGGTGTTTAAATGCTTTCAGTTACTTGAGACTTTTGTTGAGAGTAGCCAAAATCATCCTGGTTTGATCAAGAGTAGGACTACATGTACTTGGTACATTTTTCTTGAAGGTCTGGAAAAACAGATTAAATTTGAGTGTTTGTAGGTGACATTCATTGTAGCAGCTAGCCTAGTATAGTCCTGACAAGTTTCACATTCCTAAAATTGAGGTCATGGCTGTTGTGTTGAAGGAAAAGGAGTGGTATATTTTTATTCTAAACAAAGCCTGCTAAATGTTTGTTCCCTACATGTGTACTGCATAGTGTACAACATACTTAAAGGGCAATCTAACCCTTGTAAAAGTTGATTTGTATGAAAGCAGAAAAATAACAGAAAGAGAATGGCAAAAGTTTGAAATGAATTGGACCAGCTAGTAGTTAGGAAGTTATGAATGTTTGAAATATGAGATCACTAAGTCTATGCGAATATCAAATTGGTAGTTTTTTCAGTGGATTTTGACGTAGGGTGTGGATACATGTAACTCTCCCACTTGCCGATCACAAAAATATCACTAATTTCTGTTTTTCTTGTAAGTTTCTTCTCCCTTGGGGCGCTACCATAAATCTCTGTGCATAAGAGGCACCCCTTTTTGGGGGCCAAGAAAAATACATTTTGTCAAATTTCATTGAAAATTTCATCAGCCTTTTCTCTGATATTTCTGCTTTCTTTTTGGGTAGTTGTCTATTTGGGTTGGATTTCCCTTTAATTTTTGCCAACAGAAGAGAAGTCAGTAATCAACAGGTTAAGTACCAATGATGGTTTTGCTCTTTCGTATGAAAATCGTATCAGATTTATAGCTGTTTCTCTGTGGCCATTGTTAAATAGAGGCAGAATAAACCTAAAGATAAGAAAACAAAACAATATGTGTACACGTTATTTGCTTTAATTGATAAAAGTAATATGAAAATAGAAAATACATACAACTTCCCCTTGCATGTACAGTACATGTACAGTAGATTCTTGTTTGAGGCGTGAACAATTGGAGAGGAGGGGGGGGGGGGGGGGGTCATCTACATGTACATGTAAGTAGGCCCTACCTAAGGAAATCCTTTTTTTTTGCTTTGTCATTGCTATTATTAAAGTACTTGTGTTTGAGTAGAATAAACTTAAAACTTGAAATCTGTAGCGAGTATGTCCGTACATGACAGTTTGATGTGGTCCCAATCGATATGTACTTGAAACTACATGTACATGTTTCTACAATTTAACTGATTGTATTTTCTTTTCTTTATTTGTTTTAACTTTCATGAGTGGTATAAAATACATAAATTTTATCAAGATATTTCAAGTTCTTGGTATATTGAAAATTGGGAAAATTTATATGTAGAATTCTTATGTGTAAATGTACATAGAAAATTTACATTGAAAATAATGTTTAATGGAGGTCTTCTTCTTGAACATAAGATTGTCTAGGAGTTATGAAGAGACATCATGGATTATACTTCATAGTCAGCAAGTAAGAAGCATTAATAGAGGGTTTAGCAGGTAGTTACAGCTAAATTTACAACCGGCAAAAAAAAGTGTGGCAAACATTTATTGTTATTCATTTATAACAGAAAACACCTAACAAGGAAAGTGATGTTTTTGCAAACTGTTCAAAAGTAGGTCCAGTGTTCATGAGTTCATGACTATCAAATTATTGTCTCAAATGTGACTTTCAGATGTAGTTTCACGTCATGTATCCACGCGCATACTGGGAAGCAATGGTTGGGGTCGAGTTCATGACGTAGATCAGTTTTGTAGATCAGTTTGTTTTGGAGGGAAGGATCGTACACCTTACTAAGGTGCAGGTAGTCTGAGACGGAGACCTGATTTGGTCTGGTGGTGAGATCGCTGGTCTCCATCCCTGCTCTAGCAAACTGCTTTTAATATATAGAAAATACTGCCTGTCCTGAAAACCACCTGTTGATAAAGCCCACATGAAGACTACTATTTTCACACAGCTTAGTAGGTACTGGTAGTAGATTATTTCTCATCGAATCATATATTACGGGAATCTAAATACTGATATAGTATAAATATACATGTAAGAACCACCTGCTTTAATAGTTTGGAGGTACACATATTTATACTTAAGTACAGTACTTGTACAGACTATACAGACTATTTTTCTTGTTTCATTTAGCTGTCACAGGTTAGAGGCCCACTCGAAAAGAACCTAATGATTCTCATGCATATTCATCAAATTTTATAGATGGCATCTTTTACGACCCAAATCACATTCAGAATATGAAGTTCAAAAAAAGAATCGAAAAAAAACCAGTTGAATGAAAGTTTGAATAATACTGTATGTGTCTGCTATTTTGATGCAATTACTATGGACATGTACAATGTACATGGATGAATTAGAGCTGTTAAAGGGTCAAATTATGATTTCAAAAGATTATCATAAATGTAGAGAGCATACTGTACATGTACATACATGTAATGTATACAAAGAGTAAAAAGTTTGCTGGAAACCAAGACTAGGAACTGGGTCTAAGCTCAGGTAGGGCCACATATGGGGTCAAATGGGTGTAGATTTCTTGGCAGTTGACATGCGAAATACGCAAGAAACTGAGAAAACGTAAACAAGAAGATTTCGATATATATGGGGGTTATCTATTCTTAGCTTTTCCTCGTAAATTTCATTTCTCTGTAGAGTACATATACAAATGTACTGGTACATATACTGTATGTGCATGTTTTTATCACTTGCTTGCATAAATACCCCTCCAAGGAAAGGGAGAGTTCATTCTGCTATTTTGCTTGCCTGAATGAAGGTGGGATCATATGTTTGTTTTGGATTGTGTTTGAGGAGAAAGTTTGCAGAGAATCTAAGAGAATAATGGTGAATCATTTGGTAAGTAAACCTAGCGAAGGATCATGCTCCCTTTCCCTTGTTCTTGTATTTTATGTTTACAGACTGGGATGGGTTTGAATAAATATTGATTTGGAGAAAAAGAGCTGTAAACATTGAAACAGAGATCATGAGAACATACAGAGACAAAAAAAGGAGAGAGGGATAAAGAGGAAAAAGAAGAGAGTGGAAGGGGAAATTAAAAAAAAAGAATGAAAAATAGAACAAAAAGATGGGGAAGAGGAAATAAGATCTATTCAGAGCAAGAATGGTGTTAGGCCTGTACAATATACTAGTAGGAGTTTAAGCCACAGTCCCATATACGTCCCGGACCGTCCCGGACCATCCCGGACCCCATCCGGGGTGATCCGGGATTCGGTCCATGTTGACACCGTGTTGGCACCGGGGTGGTCCTGGATGGTCCTGGATGGTCCTGGATGGTCCTGGATGGTCCTGGGCGGTCCGGGAGTCGACCCCGGATGTTTTTGACGGTCAAAAACTGCCGGGGTGGTCCGGGACGGTCCGGGACAATAGTTTGATCCGGGGTGATCCGTGTAGCCACCGTGCTGGGTCCGGGGTCATCCGTAGTGGCGCCGGGGCGGTCCGTGTTGATCCGTGGCAGTCCGGGAGTGAGTTATTGACCGCCCAGGACCATCCAGGACCATCCAGGACCATCCAGGACCACCCCGGTGCCAACACGGTGTCAACACGGACCGAATCCCGGATCACCCCGGATGGGGTCCGGGATGGTCCGGGACGGTCCGGGACGTATATGGGACTGTAGCTTTTAAAGCATCACACTTTTTTGAACAAAACATCCCGGACCATCCCGGATCACCCCAGACCATGGTCCGGGATGGTCCGGAGTGGTCCGTGCTCGTCCGTGCTGGTCCGGCTTTATATGGGACTGGGGCTTTATGCCATTCAGGCTCCTACCAGAAGATACGCTGTAGGAATGAAAATAATGAAAGGATACATGTAGATTAAAACTGCAAAGGTACATATAAAATAAAAGTATAACAATGTAGGTTTCATAATTAATTGTTATAAAACTCAAAAGTTAGCGTTGTATTAGACTGAAATTTGCACACCAGAGCTTTGAAATAGAGTACCGAAGCTGTGGCATCATAAAAATCTATTTTTGGAATTTCTTAGTTTTTTACTTCATTTCCGATAGAGCATCAAAAATAATGTCCAAAGTCAAAAACCAATTGAATATGTTAAGTATTGGCTGAGATATGACCATCTAAAATAAATAGATTTCCTATAGGAACTCAGTGTTATATTGCTCTGGCTAATAATGTTATGAACCAGAGCAATATAACACTGAGTATTTGATGACGTCACACTTCACCACTCTAAAGGCAAGTTTCTTGATGCCAAAGTGGCCATTATAAACAACTTTGGTGAAGTTTTGGGCATGCCAAATTTTCTGGTTATAATGTGAAATTTAATCAAACAGGTTAATCATGAATTGCTTATTCAGTAGTTTTTCAGTGTCATCAGGACGATAATAATGATAATAAATTAATAACAATAAATTAATAATGATAATAATAACAATGATAATGAACATGATAATTATACATGTAATTAATAATCCTGGATTAGATTTAATCAATACAATCATTAATACTTCTTATTTTGATCTTGTATAATCTGTTATAAGGGTTCATTTCCAGGAAGCCTTTTTGTGCTTTTTATGATCCTGCGATTATTGTTTATAATATGATTTGTCATTTATTTAAGTATCTGTATTTTTAGCAGAAGTTGAAGTGAACATAAAACAAAGATTTGATTTGATTCCTTAGCCTGGATAGTACCTGTAGTCTCTACTATCCAATGACTCTAAAGTTTGATCGCGTTTCCTTCCTGTTCTATGAGGGGGTGGTTTTAGGATGTAGTGGTTGGGATACAGACAGGAACCTGTACCTATCTACTACCGGTATCTGCCAAATATGGATACATACTGGTACGGTACTAGTGGTACCTGTACAAACTGAAATTTCTATTGCTGCTACATTCTGTCATTTAGAAGATGGAGAGAATATACATGTACATGTACATTCATGTAGGCCTATTGTTTTTTGTAAGAAGTGTATTACGATATATTCTGGGGGGTGTTTCACAAAGATAAGTTGGACTTAAATATTATGGAGAGCCATTCGCAGCCTTATAATGAAATACATTCAAAAGCAAAATTCACATATTTTAGACTTTTCATAAATTCCACATCAAGAACATGAAATCTCCCAAGATAATAGAAAATATGAATAATTTGAATCAACTTTTTATGCCTTTTAAAATATTTTTTACAAAATATTTTCAATGATGCTAACGACTTTCCATAATTGTTAAGTCCAACTTAGAGATACATGTAAGTTCAAATTAAAATCTTTGTGAAACACCCCCCAGGACTCGATACTTACAGGCACCCGGGACACACCCAAAATCAAAGTCTAGACCCCCAAACTTTTAACATTTTTACAAAGGGTTTACATTATGTATGCATAATGACTCAAAAAGTTCATTCTGGACACCCTTACAAAAAGAGCTAGTGAAAGTACATGTAGGCTTATGATATTTAAAAAAGAACAATTATCAATTCTTTCTTTCCATTATTCCTGTTTCACATAACTTATTTTATTTTATATTAAAGTAAGTTGTTCTTGTTGTTTCTAAGTACATAAATATATTTATTGCTTGTAAATATCCTATGTAAAATGTTCATGTATTAATATATGGACTAGAGTTAAATAATTTAATTGTATTGAATATCATCTGTTCTGAGCCAGAACAATTTACTCTTTGTTATACTGTAATAAGTTTAACATCCTTCGGGCTCCAAAAATGATACGTGTACACTATATTCATCAAAAGTTTTATAAAATATACATTTTAAAAACTTAGCTTTAATTCTGTGCACCCTTTCTGTGCATTAAAACTACTTTGTTTAACCGTTCTCTTTGTTTATTCGATGGCTTGCTTACTACAACAAATACTCAGCAATTATTTGTCAGTCCTATAAATTGAAGCGATACATGTGGATATAAGTGATAGGAAAAAAGAGCAGCATATTATTACATAATGTAAGAAGATCATCAGAGTACCTGGAAATAGAGGGCCCACTGTCATTGTTATCCGATTACTGAAAATCGTACTTTGTTATGTCGAGCCACTACTTAAAATGTACAGTATTTGCATCACTTGGGTGCCTTTAAAAGACAGGTTTAACTGTAGAGTCTACATATACTGTTTTTGAATTTACCCCTTATTTTCAAAAGTTACATCATTAGGCTATTTTCCTATAGGTTTATACATAGACCTGTTGGTGGTAGGTCTATGGTTTATATGATAAATTCCCTGGATAGTATACAAAACATACAAAATCAAGACTTCACCACCCATTGTCTGAGCGAGCATCAAACTGGACTTTGGTATTGAAGTTTCAAACTTTATTTACACTTTGGATCCTCCTGTGCTAAATTTGGTGGAGGCGCCTTTAATGTAGCCTGTTCAGACAAAACAATTATACAAAACTCAGTAGAGGTGCCGTGGTTTGTGGATACATCACTGGTCAGTCTTGGTAAAGTTTAATACAAGCACTGTACATGTACACAGAAAGATGTATATGGGACTATGCGACATGTGCGTTATATCTATCGGGTCCAAATAGATATAATATTTTACCAAATATATCAATTAGAAGGCGGTTTCTCAGCAAAATTTGTATCATTTCGTATTTTTATAGTCAAAACATATTCTTTCACATGATTGGTAATAAATTTTCAATTTTTGAGAGGGGGGTGTTTCCAAAACTGGTTTTTACCTTTAATAGATTTTTTTTTGAAGCGATGCTCAAACATATGTTTTGCTTAACGACGTTTCTTGATAAGAACTTCAGACTATTAAAAAGGCAATTACTTATGGTATAGCTAATTATTGTATAGCATTACAATGAATCCAGTTAGTCTGAATGCAGGTTTATTTTGATGGTATCTTATCTGAGAGCAATCACAGATTTAATTTGACTTCTGTTTGGTATGACATTTGTCAGTCCGATGAACTTTGGAGTAAACCTCTGTTATCTTTACAGCTCCAGGTTGTGAATGTCCCGCTGAAAACAAAGAGCTTGTTTTGAAATTTGAAATGGGGTTTGACAGTAGTCAGCCATGTATTGCAACCGATCATACCGATGGAAATAGATTTTATATTTTCACTTTGAGAAATGAATGTTTGGAGTAACCTTATGTTGTCTTATATAGTGCCAGGCTGCCAGCCAGAGTTTGTGAATGCCCAAATACAGAGCTTGTCTTGAAGTTTGAAATGGCAGAATTAGGAGAGATCATACATTAGCCGATATTGAAAGTGATGGGACTGGCTTTAATTATTTGTGTGTAGATCTGACAGTACTGTACTGTAACCGAAGAGAACAGATTTCATTGTTTGTGCTTTGATTTGTTTCGACCGATTGAGAAATGTCAACTCATTTCTCTTTCAATAGTTGCTCGTTGTCTCTCAGTTGTTGAAATTTCACAATTGAGTGCATTTTTGCGGTAATACTTCTGCACACAATTGACATACAGCTGTAATACTTGTTTGCAGGTGTTGTGTACATACTCATGAGGTGCAATATGAAGGTATGCTGTGAATTGTGATTTTTATTTCTTTGAAAGCAAACAAAAACCCTGGATTGTTACAAATACACTTATATTTGACAGGCGTTACACTGTAGTGCTTGCTCAATACATCAAGTTGAAGTTTAAAGTACACAATATGAGACCTTGCACTTTGACATAGATGATCGATAAGAGGTACAAATAAAAATTGTGTAATACAGTATATGATTGCTAAATTTATAAAGTGCAAATTGATTTTTATTGTTCCAGTTAATAGTTCCAGAACTTACTGTTAATATTCTTTCTCTTTGTTTTCTTTGGGCACAATACAAATATTTTGTTCTACTATTGTATTCTTGAAATTGAAATTGAAATTATTCATGTACATGTACTTTATAAATGTGTGAACAAGTGTAGTTTGATAAAATGTTGGATAGTTATTGTATTTTTCTTTTTCTTCATTTACTTCTTCTTTTATTCCTCTCCTTCTTTTTTCTTCTTACTCTTCTTATTTATTCTCCTTGACCTCCTTCTTTTTCATCTGTCATCTCCTCCTCCTCTTCTTCTGTTTCTTCTTTTTATTTATCCTTTTTTTTCCTCTTCTCCTTTTTTCTCTTTTTCTTCTTTATCTTCACCTTTTTTTCTTCTTTTGAAATATCTTCACCTTCAACTTCTTCATTTCATTAACTTCTTCTTCTCATATCTTTTCTTCCTTCTCCTTCTCATTTCCTGTTGTTCATGTCATCCACTTTCCTCTGCTCTCTCTTCTTCTTGCTCGTCATCATCCATCTTTCAGGAGGGATCTCCGGAGAGTGCCTTCCGTCTTTGGGGAGAGGAGCGAGACGATGACATCATCTACTCAGTCTACCTCAAAAAAGTCAGCTACAAAAAGTCTGCTGCAGATGCCTCCACTATTCAAAATGACGTTAGTATTCAGGAATCCCATTATATTTCTGTTGAGAGCCAGAAGGTCATGAACTCTCTTCTTTTTTAAAGTAGACTTTTTGTGCCCTTCTGGTTTTCAACAAAATAACAGCAGACCATATGGAAATTGTTTTATGCCTCAGTCACACCTATTGCTTGAAACCAAGATTTGAATTCTTGATATAAAAAAATTAATTCTTGATATCAAGAAATTGAATTCTTGATATCTAGAATTGCCATTGCTTTACAACAGAAAATCATTTCTTGATATCAAGAAATAGGAATAAATGTAATAAAACGGCTTGACATAAATACGCAGCAATACGCAAGCAGAATATGCAGAGGTGTGACTGAGGCATAAGAGCAAGAAGGGCATACAACCAAACCATGTAAAGACACAGTCAACACCCTTCTGTCTAGGACATGAATACTGCAACTCATTTTTGTTAGACCTGGGCCCCGTCTTACAAAGCGTTTGTATTTTGTATTTATTAACATTTATTTCCTTCTCAACAGCACAATATAAAACACAATGTATATATACATGATATATGTAACAATTATTTCAACATAGAGTATACAGTAATTAATTCAGACACGGAAGGAGGCGAAAACCGGGAAAGCGTAGCTTGAGTTGGGAACGCCCATAATAAATTAACACAGTTACCTAATATATGTAGCTTATTTGCGATTGATATCAATCTCAATTATGTACATAAGAGATAGGAGACTGCAAACTTGCGATTGATTAGAGGACTTGCGATTGATTTGGATCAATCGTATCTCTTTGTAAGACGGGGGCCCAGACTAGACTACACCATACCACTCATTCCACACTCCATTTTATTTCATTCCTCATGGGCCCCATATGGCCATGCTGAACTTGCCCCTCGACAGATGATACATTTAGTTTCACCCTTTGTCATGGATAAAGAATTTTGTACTCTCGTTGGAGTTATTCCAGTTCCTGCGGTGACACAAACTGCATATAAACTTTTGTTTAACAGCCAAAACTTCTTTATAGATCCCCCTTCTCTCCTCAAAAAGAACAAAAAATAGATTTAAAAGAAAAGAAAAATCATTACCACGTTGCTTTGTACATGATGAAATGCAGATGTTGCCCAAGCTTTATTTTTATAGAATGTATACTTGGCACTGATCTGCACTGTTCATAATTTGGCTGTGCTTTCGAGTTGTATTGAAAAAAGCCAGGAGATCTTTTGGAGAAAAAAGAACAGTTTACCCCCCCCCCCCCCCCCTCTCCCATATGAAAATAGAGGGAAGGAAAATGTGGGTAAATATGGAAGATTTATACAATGATCTAATACAGTATGTTGAAATCTGGGCCCTGTCTGATATACAGTTGTGATTAGTTCTGGTTGACTACAAGTTCTCCAATCAATCCCAAACTTACAAACTCTTACATTCATCTCACAGAGTTGCGATCATCATCAAGTTGCGATCGATTTGAATTGATTCCAACTCTTTACTTATATTAAAAGACAGGGCCCAGGTTATGCAAAAAGGTACGGATTGTGAGATACATGCTGCATACTACACACTCACTCGTTCTCGTAGTTGCATTATTCGTCATGGTCAATTGCTGTTTCTTTTCATCAATTCTTTGAAATCCTTTCTACAACTTGCCAATTTAAAGGCAACATTCTTATTCATTGTGTTCTGTTTTTTTCTTTCTTCCTTCCTTGACTGCCCAAATGGGAAACCCGTAACCCTCCAATTTTAAACCTGAAAAACACCTCTCCTAAAATAATATTTGACCCCCTTTATTAAAACCCCTTGGAATATCTCTTACAATTGCCCCCCCCCCCCCTCCAATTAATCCATTAAACGACCATACAACCGATATCACATGTTGGAATTAATCTCATCGACTAATGAATGATTATATTGATTTAAACAAAATATTGGTACTACTTAACTTTAATGTGCATAATGCAATATACATGTATGTCTTAATTGACTTGCAATTTTGTGAAATTTTGATTTGCTTGTGTTCACATTATAACGATAATTGAATGGTTGATAATGACTTTAAATTTTGCATGTCAAATTCCATTTTAACAATATTTTTGCATCCAATGGTGACTAAAATAAACGTCAAATCTCTTTTAATATCATCAATGATGATCAATTTCATCTTTTCCATACTCTCTTGAGAAAAATGAACCTTACTTTTTATTTTGAAACTATGTTTTTCCTGTCAAACTGATTTTTCACTGCAATTGTGATCCATGATTTGTCATGATATTTTGTCTCCGTGTCGATCACTTCTGTCACATTTTGCTGTGACTGTGATTAAATAATATCTTGTATGTCATCAAATCATATCAAATTTAAAACCTCCAAAACACTGATCTTCACACTGTTTTTAAATCTAAATGTCATCCTTTCTACCACATGAAAATTTGTTTTACTCATTCATACCTTGTGGAATGCATTCATGACTTTAAAAAATGCATTCACACCGTAAAATTCATTCATACCGTGCAATATATACTCATACCATGTAAAATGCATTCATACCTTGTAAAATACATTCATACCCTGTAAATGCATTCATCCCTTGTAAAATGCATTCATCCCTTGTTAAATGCATTTGTACCTTGAAACATGCATTCATACTTTGTAAAATCCATTTACATCATCTCAATTTAACATTCATCATATCCAACTACCATACTGCTTTGAAAATCCCACCTTCAAACCCCCCTTAAAAAAAAATCCCCTTCCTCTTCCAAACCCACCAACCCATAATCACCACCATCAACCCTCCCCTCCCATTGCCTTTGTGTGTCAACCACCGGCTGTCACCCTTCACACCACAACCACCACCACCACCACAGTGCTGTCCGGATAGTAGTATTCGGTTCTTATCGTACCTGCAGTGGGAGACTCTCAGGATACGCGCCATCAAGGCGGCGTCGGTGCAACGCCTTGTGGAGTACCTGCCCATGGCCGTAGAAGACATGGATTCGGTCTACCTTAATGTATTCTTCTCAACGTACCAGACGTTTACAACGCTCAGAGAGGCACTTGGGATGCTTCTCAAAAGGTAACAGTCAAAATATAAAACTTTTATAATTTAATGCTGTGGCATTTAGGTAGCTTTCATGTTTAGTCTTAAAGCTCCACTGTACTACTTGTAGCTACTTGTTCCCTCTGTATAGAAAACAATGCCTAATCGGTGACCATTGGTCCCCCATGATCCTCTTTTTCTTATGTTAACTGAGAGCTGATTTGATGAGATAACCACCTGTCAGTGACCTTGAAGGGTGGTCTAATCCCTTCTGTAAACTAGTACAGATGGGCTTTAATGCCCTTCTGTTTCACCTTTTTTTGCTTTCATTTTTAAATGTTGTATGTTTCTATATGAAAGCCAAATCGTTATTTAATTGATTTTGAAGGGTTGGATGTATAATTCATTTACATATTTAGTTTTGAAGGTCTATCTTTCATATTGTTAAACAAAGTGAATCTTATTTTTCTTTGGGAAAGGAATTATTTTTCTCTAACATTAAGATAATGCTTTGAAGAGGTCTGTTATAATTAATTGGATAATTACAAGACAATACAGATTAATTAAATTATCTGCTTCATTGATGATGTTCTAGATTGTTGCTGTAACCTCACAGAAGTGATTAGAATCACGATGCTATCTTTGAGGGAAAACCTAGCCCTCTCACGTCACTTGAAAAATGAGAATAAGCAGATTAGACATGATTAGCTAGACATGATTCAGGTTTTCATGCACAAATGTGACACATACATGTACATGTACTTAAACATCTGTGTGACAAATGCGATGAGACTCTGAAACCCCACTCCCTCTTGCCCAAGAACTTGTACCCCTCCTTAGAGATATCTCAAAACATGACAGTGATCTGTTAAGAAAAAGTGATTTGGGGAGAGATAATTCTCGTATAATCCTTGCTTGCTATTGTGTGATCTCCTTGAGTCACGTCTGTGAATATACACGCAGACAGACAGTACAAACACGATCCTGCCTCTAGACCAAACTTGAGATCTCTGCTGTTTGGGAGCTGATTTCATTACTCATAGTTTCCCCCATCTTTCCTGTCAGTTTAAAGGGTAAAAAATGAAATGATTGAAGAATATTTCCCCCATTACAGATGAACTTAGTAAAAGTTGGTAGATAACAGATAGAAATTCAAGAGAGTACAGAAATACAGAAATAGACCATGTAGCTTCTACAGTGTATGGATCTGTAACATGTATTTTCACAAAAGAAGTTTTATTGGGGCTATCATAAATAGACTAAGTACCGGTAGGCTAAATTTAGCAAGCACACCTAACCTAATCCAAAGTTCTTTAATACCAGAAACTTTCAAGTACAGAGTCTAAGATATATTCACAGATTCTGTGACTACGAAATGTATAGATTACGACATGGAACATCTTGAATTGTGAAAGTTTATACATGTAGTTATGAAAAGAAGCGTCATTAAAAGCCTGCACAAATTTTAGGTCTCAAAAGTAACAACAGAAGTTTAATGAGGGGTCACATATACAGATGTGTTAAATATACATTTTTGCGGTAGACAGAATTTACTTGTGCCAAAAGGCTGTGATATAAGAAACTTTTGAGTTCATGAATCCTTCACAAATTCTGTGTATGGTTGACATTTGCAAAAGGTTTATGCTGCTATTATTAAAAAGCAAATGAATTACAACATAGAACTTCTTAAATGGTAAAAGTTTGTAGTTATTAAAAGAGGTGTCATGAAAAGTTGCACTATTTTTCAGGTTCTAAACTAAAACTTTACATTTCATTTTGACCAACAAACATTTTTGAAAATTAAAAGTTTTGTCACAAGATAAGTTCCAAAATGTATGTCTAGATAAAATATGATAATGGTGACAATGTTTTATGGTATCAGAAAACTGCCATATATTTAGGCCTTTGCTCTTTTATACCAAGTTATATATACAAACAACGGCGAAATGCCAGACGTCTGAGTTATCACAAGGTAGAAACATTCAACTATACATGTATGTTATGACGCATTTACCCATGTATACATTAGCTAGGACAGCCATTGTAATTGAAGCTTCATTGAAAATAGATCAGAGCAAAAGTTTCTTGGCAGCTGTTATTGTAGGGGGGAGTTCACATGAAAGTGAAGCAGAAATTGCTCTCTCTGCATACAAAAATTTATCTAAATGTGTATAGAGAGAAGTTGATTTTTTCAAATAATTCAAAGTTCTGTTGTAAACACACTTTTCGAAAGGGCTTTCCATTTAATTATTGAATTATCATGTGTAGAAAGTGACTAACACATGTAAACTGACTTTTCAGCAATGCAGAAATTCCTTGGCAACTGTTTTATTGGTCATTCACACACGCCCTCAAATTCCATTATTCCTCGGCAGAAACTATTAACTTTCAAACTTTCATACCTTTGTTCACATTTATCCCTAAAATGTTAAAGGTTTAGATTAATAATCCCTATACTTTTGTCTCATAGGTTGATTCGAAATGTTTGCAACCATTGACAGCTGAATCCTGGCATTTGCTAACATGTGTAAACTCTTTCATGAGCTGTATATGGCTTTTTTGTCTTCTTCTCTCGTTGGTTTATGGCGTCATCGATTGATGGTTTCCACAATCTTTTCAGGAAGGCCAAAGGGAAGGACATTGATGATAGTTTTAATGGCAGAGTAACACTGTCTCTTTCCGCTTTCCTGTCATTTCAGGGATGCTCCAGATAAAACCACTTTTTGTACTTAATTAAAACATTGCCATAAAACAAAAACAAAGGGTGGGGTGGGGGCTTAGATTGTTCATCTTTTTATGACATATGGATCCTTTGTTTAAATACATTTTCATTTTTGTTGGTTACAATAACATTGACATTCACTATCATTTTTTTTATTTATTATAGTTTGATTATTTGGAAATGGTTTCTCGAAATTTTGCTCAGAATTAAAGATTTACCTTCAGGTGTCTACATGTGTATTAAATGAAATGCAGTTCAAGATCACGCTGAAAACTTGTAACACAGAATAACCTTTCTATCCCTCGCCCCTACAGATACATAGAAGTCCAAGAGACAGCGACAGAATCCGAAAAGGACAGACAACTTAAGTAAGTGTTCCCAAATGTTCTCCTCTGTAACTCATAAAAGCAGTAGACAAGGACAACTTATGAGATAATGGTTTAATACATTCTACCATTGGTTTCCCTGTATATGAAACTGTTTTGTTGTGACCTTCAATACTCCCAGAAAGTAAACAGAACTGATTTCGATGATTCACTTTTGGAGGTGTCGTAATTGAATGGTTCAAAGACGTGACTTGAGATGCAGAGGTCATGGGCCAATCAAGGCACTATATAGTCTACATGTATGTCCTTATAAGGTAAAACACATTTAATCCACATTGCTTCACTCCACCCAGGTGTATCATTTGGTACCCAATGGAATGCAAATGCCAATGGGTTGGGACAGCATTATGTGTTATTTTTAACTGGCACTGTTCTCTAGAGCACTTCCTGGTAGTGGAGAATGTGCACATACATGTAGTGTGCACAGACAAAACAACCAAGTTATCTGTAAAATGTGTCTCGTGTAGAGAGTGACAAACATCCAGATATTTTGTCTATTATTATAACACAGAAACAGATTTTGTGTTTTGCTTCGCAAACGACAAAACTTTTCATCTTTACAAAATGTTTTACAGGAATATCAGATCAGTGGTGATGATGTGGCTGGAAGAAAGCCATGATGACTTTCGGGAAGCACCTGACTACACATGCCTTCACATGATAGAGGAGTTTGCCCGGGACGTGTCGCATGATGTCGAACTCGAGTTGCGAACGGCGCTCCTGATGACATCGTTTGAGAACGAGGATTCACCAAAGAGTAAGTCTGGTAATTCTTCTTGAGTTTGTAAAATGCACTAGAGGGAAGGGGGAGGAGGAGGGAAGAGGAAGGAGGGGCGGAGGGAAGGGGGAGGAGATAGAGGACAGGATGAGGAATGGGAGAAGAGTTATCTGGAGATGGAGGAGGAGGAAGAAGAAGGGATTGAATAGGCCGTTATATAAATAAAACTTGAATTGATTGGCACATTACACCATTACATGAACATGCAAAGTGCATGCACAAACATGATGACAAAAGTTCAAGTGTGTGATTGAACTTCTATTGTTTGATTTTACTTCGTGCTGTATTTAGAACGACCAAATTTAATGATTGAATATGAAGTAGTTAATTCAGATAAGGATACTAGCATGGAATTGATCATGTTCTTGACAGTTATTCATATTCAATAGGTTCAAAGCTCGGAAGGGTGTTTCCATATTTATAGAAGAAAGGACAAATGAACATTTTATAGTTATTGACTATACAAATAATCGAGACAATGTGACATTGAAGAAGAGAATATACATTTTTATTTACTTGTTTTTATGTAATATACTATATTCAGAACAACAACAACGCTGTTAATGTCTTGAAATGGCTCGTTAAATTATTAGCTGACCTTCAACATGTTATCTCAAGGGAGACGTCTCCATTATGTTCAATTTAAACTGCACGCTTTAGTGATTTGTTTGTGCTATTTTGGGTAGGTAGTTAACCCACAATGTTCATGGACAAGGATGGGTATTAAAAAATCTTGAGACATGATTCTCCAGTCGTGCAAAGTACAAAGGAAATATGACTCACCTTGCAGCTCATAAATTTAATTCAGCTTTTGAGAGGTATGATAGAGAATACCCCCTCCCCCAAGAAAATAAATAACAATAAAGAAATAAAAAGTAGCAAAGAAATAGAACAAACTGTTCTATTCTTCTTCTGTTGAAGTACAGACCACCATGTTGTCAGTGTATCATCATACTTTTGAAGTTGTGCAAATATATGTACAGTGCTGTGGAAGATCTAATCTATGTGCGGTTAAAAAGAACAGACGCAATCCTAGCGCAACTGTATTTTCTGCACCTCAGTCTTATAAAGCTGGCTACTGAGGTACAGGCGATTACACTTGCAGGGAGAACGTTCCACAGTCTGATGGTGTCAGGAACAAAGGTTTTCTGATAAGTTATGATAAACACAACCAACAAACATAAAATGAGCAAAAATTAAACAACAACAAAACAAAAACAAAGAAACAATTAATATATATGAATGGAGAGAGAATATTTCATTGAATCGTTGCAATCATTGGAATATACTCAGTTGTGTTTTACTACATCATTCTCTAAGTCTTGAAATACTACTGTGAAAATACAAGCCAACTTTTCACAGAAAATGCAGTGAATTCCACTCATAACAAATACTACATTGTGCAGTGGCATGCAGCCATATTGTGCACATGAACAAAGGACCTTCTGTATTGTGATACACATTAATATCATAACCATATGGCTTAATGGGGATTAAGTAGTCATCATTTTCTCTCGTAATGACTAAGCCAGGATTATTGTTACTGCAGGTAAACAAATTTATGATGGGAATCTGATAGTAGAGCTTGGTTCAGTTATTCCTCAAGTTGTTTGACTTTGGTAATAAATATTTGAGAATCCGTTTTTTACAAAAAGAAGAGAAAGAGAGAGAAGAAAAAAAGAAAGAAAGAATCTAATGTAAAATAAAATGTCTTTAACTCATTCATATAACAGTAGCTGTAGTTGACTGGTCATGTTTATATGACCAAACAAACAACACAAAGATTGTTAATTTCCAAATCATCTAGTTTGATAAATGTTATACAACTTTCTAAATCTATTAATGTTTAGAGTCCTTTAAGCTAGTTGGTAAATGATCAGAAAGTTCTTTTGAATGCAAAAGTGTTTTTCTCATTTTCACTACCGGTAATGACCTAATGATGTGCATGTATTTCATCAGATCAATTACTCTAAAACCCTATAGTCTACATGTACATGTAGCTGGGCAAGTGTATGGGAAAAGATGTAACATCTCATCAACAAGTGATCATAATTTCTGCATGTTTTTAAGAAGCATACTGTAAATGCAAAGATATTTTTCCCAGACTTTATTTTTCCCAGAGTTTACTTTTCAAACTCAAATCTAGATCAAACTAGGCACCAGCAACATCGTTGAGTGATGTCTGAACATGTAGAAATGATTGCATCACCAATCTGTTTTTGTGTTTCTCAACAGGGCAAAAAAGTATTTCTGAAAAACTTGATAACCATCATGATAATGAATCTTCACTAGAATGAAAGTTTTTTTAAGCTTTTTGATATTATCCGTAGGGTTTCTGTAAAGCGTTTAATAGAGACAGTATTCTGATTTACATGTAAGTGCTATATAAATCCAGATTATTATTATTATAATATCTATGTTAGGTAATATGATAGTTATATAGTTAAATACCTTTTGATGATGTGGAAAATCAAAGTTTATAAATGTATTTTTATTGAGTCACCCTGTATCATTATGAGAAGCTATCTGTATGTTCAGTGATTAAAACAAAATCAATACTCCCTTTTTTTTCTCCAGAAGTTTCAGAAGAAAAGTAAACAGTTGTGTGGAACACATTGTATTAAAAAAAAATGAGATAGAGACCTGGAAAATGAGAGGATCACAAGGAAATGACATTGATTCTATAAAAAAAAAAAACACCCAAATATCAGATTGTTTGCTTTGTAATTGCAGAGCAGATGCTTTGCTATTGTGCTCCTTAGATCATCAGATATATATATATATATATATATATATATATATCATAAAGCCTTTGAACAAAAGACTGTTGGGAACCTCTTTAAAATTCTTGATTTTGTAACATTAACACAATAAGAGATCTTGTTACATTGCATTTCCTTATCTTTATATTTAAAACTATACAACTTGTGATGACAGAAACCCAGATCTTTTAGGCTCCGTTTATTTCTTAGCTTGATACAAACTCCAGATCTATCTATGATTGAGATGCACGTAATGTTGTCAATTTAATAATTTTTAAAGATTTCTCATATCCACAATGACGTATTGCACAATGACCTCTCGCTATTATTAGCATGACGTGGAACTATTCATTACAAATATACTGGTCCATTTAAGCTCCCTTGATACGTAAAAATCCCACAATAAAGCCCAAAAGATAATTATGCTTTTAATGTTGTTTGTGGGTAATCTCCACAAATGTGAGATTTTTGCCGACAATTCCAGGAAGTGACGTCAAACCCATGTGAGCCAGCCGCTAATCCCCTAATGCAGTAGTATGAATCATGTGATCCCTTTGTTTTTTGTTTTTTTGCTTTTAATTGTGTTTGTCCATTCAGTTTACAAAGTGAAAGAATATTTGATTTAGGGCATATCTTGTTGCAAATAGTATAGGGAGTCCATGATGAGATACAGGCTTTGCTTTCGGTGTTATCTGTATGTTGCTAGCACTGTCATTCCTCTACTGGTAATCAATAATGCCATTTCTCTCTGAGAATATATCTGATTTTAAATAAACCATTGAATAATGCAGTTTGATAATAAATCATATTGAACGTACACTGTATACTGCTAGTTGTGAAACAATGAAGAAACCCCATGCATGGTATTTTGTCTACTTTAGACTTATTGATATTAATTTCTGTCATCATAACAATATATACAAAGGTAAAGGATAGAATATCATATTAAACAGATAATGATATCAAAATTATAATAATAATAATAATAATAATAATAGTGTAAACTTATAGAGCGCACACACCGTCCAGGGACGCTCATGGCGCTAGCTCAGCAACAGTTCTCTTTGATACAAGTAAAGTAAATAACTTTGCAATATTTTTTGCGATATTTTATTATAACCCATTTCAATCCTCAGCTCTGCCTGGTGAAATAATAACATTCAAAATCAAAATAAAATATGAAAGTATAAACCATACTATAAATGGACAATGGTGTATCTGTAAAAGCCAATAAGGCTTTACAATTGAATGCACCAGGCGCACAAGTAATTTTAACTTTTAAGAAAAAAATATTGGAGAAAGAAGGGTATTGACTCTAAATAATCACCCCTTGTCTGGCTCTGAATGGATGATTTCATTTTATTAACCCTTTGGCTATGGGAGCCGGGTGGTTACTGTGATAACTCTATGGGAATGAGTGAATTCAGTAGTTAACGGGTTAAGAACTTCAAGAACACATAACTGATCTGGATTGGGGAATCTCTTACAGCTTTTTAGTGTGCAGCAACAAAAAGACAGAGTATTTCTGTATATGTCATCATCCATTGTTTATGTAAGCTTGCTCTTGAAAGGATTAAGTGAGAGGAATTCAAGAGGGATTTGAGAGAATATGAGAAGAAAAGGAGTTATTGTGTATTACCACTTAATACCAGGAAGATAGTTGTGGCACTAGACAATCTATTTCCTTTATGACGGGACATTATAATGTATACAAATGAATACAGCTACATCTAGCTTGTTTGTATCACACTGATTTTGCTTAACCCCGTACTTTGCTTAGCCCCGTACTATCCTTAAACCCGGACTATTTTTTTGGCTTTTCACATGCTGTTTTTAGTCCCGTACTAGCGCCTTTCCGGAATAAGAAAACTCCCGCTGTTCTCACTGCATTTCGTTAACCCTGGATATCATGTATGTTATGATTGGACATACTTCGCATCTGGCCAGCTGCGATACGCTCCAATGCGTAGTACCGGACTATTTGTCGTTTCTGTTCTCATTCATTTGCTTAGCACCGCAATTGCGGGGTTAGCAGGAGTTAGCACCACAATTGCAGAGTTAGCCCTGCTATTTTGCAGGGTTAGTTAACCCCGTACTATAGGTGGGGTTAGCCAACTTTAGCCCACTTTGGTAAAAACCAGTCTGAACAGAAAGTGGAATAGGCTTAACCCCGTACTATAGGTGGGGCTAAGACCCCCCCCTTAACCCCACCTATAG